ATTGATGTATGTGACATTATATGACAACCACTGGGTCTCCAGTGACAAGGTTACTCCCCAAGTCCACATCACACCTCCTCCAGTACCCTGAAGCCTCAGCAAGATGTGGGTATGCTAGGCAGCTACAGTGAGCTACGAGTGTGACTTAGTAAATCTGGCTATGTTGAGGTCTTGAGAGAAAGATGGGAGCAAATTTATTTTACCATGACTTAACCATAAAATAGTTGAATGCAGTGTTACCTGAGGGGAGGCCAGCCCCTGGAAGGCTGGTATACTGTTGTTTTGGTCCATCTCCCCAGGTTAGTTCACTGCCACTCAAGAGCAGGAAGTAACACAGGCTGGATAACTGTACACAGCAGGTGCCTGGGCTCTATAGTACAGCAGCACAACACAACAACCACAGTGGACTGGACTGAGCGCACACACACACACAGTCCTTCTTGTTTCTTGTCTCTGGCAGCTGTGTCCTGTCTGGAAAGATGGACAGAACCGAGGAGATAAACATTGTATCACTCGTAATTATTAATCACAATGCATCATAAAAAGTTGAGTAAAGGACAAGTGACATGCAAATCCGTGTAGCTGCAGCGGTGGCGCGAACACATCCACTGCTCGCTAACCACATTTAGCTTTAACGTTACTTTAACGTTACTTTAACGTTACTTTAGCCCGTTCATTCATTTCGACCCCGACGCGTTAAGTGTCCTTTACAAAGTCTAGTGTGCAAACTACAGGTGACAACTTTAAATACATCTCAGTAGTCTTCCAGCAGGATGCCTCGACTGCCTCCAAAATGAAACATATCAACACACTGGCTAGCTGTAGTTAGCCGCAGAGCTAACGTTAGCCACAGCAGCTAACATGAAGTTAACATGTCAAACGCGTCACACTGACGGAGAGTCTGCTCCCACGTGTCCCGGTGCACCCCGCTACACTGCCGAGGAACTTACACTCACACTCTCGCACCTCAAACCCGCACACGGACAAAATGAATGCAGCTTCAGGTCCGTCTCATCTTCCTCGGTCTTCCTCCTCGGTCTTCTTCCTCGGCGCTCATGAGCGTCCGCGGCTACTTCCGGAAGTAGAACCCTTTAACTTCCGCTGCGTCACAGTTCACCGCAGACAGAACAAAGATGGCGTCGCTGAGTGACAAATCAGTTTGGGACGAAGTGGAGGATGGAATCGGTGAAGAAGTGTTAAAGATGTCCACAGAGGAGATAGTTCAGCGAACTCGTCTCCTCGACAGTGAGATAAAGATTATGAAGAGCGAGGTGCTGAGGGTGACCCACGAGCTTCAGGCGATGAAGGATAAAATCAAAGAAAACACGGAGAAGATAAAGGTGAACAAAACCCTGCCGTACCTTGTGTCTAATGTGATCGAGCTGCTGGATGTGGACCCCAACGACCAGGAGGAGGACGGGGCTAATGTGGACCTGGACTCCCAGAGGAAGGGAAAGTGCGCAGTCATTAAGACCTCCACCAGACAGACCTACTTCCTGCCCGTGATCGGGCTGGTGGATGCCGAGAAGCTGAAGCCGGGAGACCTGGTGGGTGTCAACAAAGACTCCTACCTGATCCTGGAGACCTTACCCACCGAGTACGACTCCAGAGTCAAGGCCATGGAGGTGGATGAGCGCCCCACAGAGCAGTACAGCGACATAGGAGGGCTGGACAAGCAGATCCAGGAGCTGGTGGAGGCCATCGTCCTGCCCATGAACCACAAGGAGAAGTTTGAGAACCTGGGCATCCAGCCACCCAAAGGGGTCTTGATGTACGGACCACCTGGCACTGGCAAGACCCTCCTGGCCAGGGCCTGCGCCGCTCAGACCAAGGCCACCTTCCTGAAGCTGGCCGGTCCACAGCTGGTCCAGATGTTCATCGGAGATGGAGCCAAGCTGGTGAGAGACGCCTTCGCCCTGGCCAAAGAGAAGGCCCCATCCATCATCTTCATCGATGAGCTGGACGCCATCGGAACCAAGAGGTTTGACAGCGAGAAGGCGGGAGACAGAGAGGTGCAGAGGACCATGCTGGAGCTGCTCAACCAGCTGGACGGATTTCAGCCCAACATGCAGGTCAAGGTAAGGAAGCTGGCACCAGAAAACACTGTTTTCATACACCTTCTATTTATATACAGTATTTACAACCATGTGGTCCAGTTGTTCAGGAACTGTATATCAACAAAGCATATTTCAACATATATATATATATATATATATATATATATATAACTAAAAACCCACAACATATCAACTGTCATATTATCTTATTGCTGCTCTATGTTGCCATTAAACAGTCTTTCCATCATCAGATTCAAAACCAATAAAATAGAAAACAAACAATAACAGCACTTATTATAAACAGTGTTTTGCACTGATGACTTTATGCATCAGATTCAGATTCTACATTCATCGTACGTACATGCTACAAATTTATAGGAAAAAAGAGAACTCAATACACTCAAATGTTCTGCTTCTTGACAACAAATACGATTTATTAAAAACTTCTGTCAAAGAGCAATAACCTTAGTATCTGGCCTACTTTTCTTAATATACTAATGGTCTTTATGCAGCTAATGACACACAAATTCAGCACAAGTGAAGTACAGGCGGTTTAAATGTGAAACATGGGCACACAAAACAAACTAAACATCAAAAACCTATAAGCACCAACGTTCCTATCTTTTCCTATCACCCACCATGGCATTACTTTACAGTATATTACAGTATAACTACATATATTTTTTTTTTTTAGGTGATTGCTGCCACCAACAGAGTGGACATCTTGGATCCTGCGCTGCTCCGTTCGGGCCGTCTGGACAGAAAGATCGAGTTCCCCATGCCAAACGAAGAGGCCAGAGCTCGCATCATGCAGATTCACTCCCGCAAGATGAACGTCAGTCCTGACGTCAACTACGAGGAGCTGGCTCGCTGCACCGACGACTTCAACGGGGCCCAGTGCAAAGCCGTGTGTGTGGAGGCCGGTATGATCGCGCTGCGCCGCGGGGCCACAGAGCTCAACCATGAAGATTACATGGAGGGAATCCTGGAGGTCCAAGCCAAGAAGAAAGCTAACCTTCAATACTACGCCTGAGGACACTGTCTGTGTCTGTCTTTGTGTGTGTGAGAGAGTCTTTCATTATTAAACACTTGTTGGGTAAACACTTGTTACACTTGCTGATTAACTTGGGTTAATAAAAAATAATTAAAATGTCATAAGTGTTGTGTTTCTTTCCACTGACAAGAGTCTGTATTTCATTGTTTCAGGTGGTGCAGAATAATACCAGTATTATTATTAACACAAAGCTAGAAAATGAACAATGGATAAACTGGTTGATGTTCTGTCACCCCGAGTACAGGTACTGTCAAGTTACTGCAGGAAAAATGGAGACAAAGCAACAAAATGCACAAAACCAACAGGTGGTTAAAATGGGAACCATTTAGATTTTTTAACACAATATGCCTTTTTCATGACAGAAATCATAGGAAAAGAAAAGGGATAATTAATAGCATTAAAATTGGCTGTATTCCTGTTATAGTTGCAAGCTCTGTCCCAAATCTATACTACATACTAATAGTAAAAGTATACTGTTTAAGCTTTTATTTTATAACGACAATATATTTTATACAAACAGGAAATTACTTTGAAAGCTACTGCCGATTAAACTTTACAAACATCCACATATCTTTCCTAAAACCTAACACTTTTGTTTCTTTGAGATTGTTTTTTTGGAGCTGTTCCACCACCACCTCTTATTTTTTATTTTCAGTTGTCAGCAGCTCCTCCTGTATGCATTGCATTCTGGGAGAATAGTACACACTCAAAAATTCACCAGTACTTTTATTTTGTCACTTTTCTAGTGAGAACACACTTAAAAGAATTAGTATGTAATACGACATAGTAGAACAAAGCTTTTTCTTTCTTTTGGCAGGAAATACACAGGTGTAACTCATTCTGCTATATAGCCTATCTCCAGTATCCCAGTAACCCTTTCCAGTAAGACTGGGACTGGGACATCTACATGGAATCCAGTCATCATTAATGTTATTAGTAAGTGACAGTGTTTCGTGTTCTGCTATGACAGGTAAATATGTTCAGTGAGAAAGGCTTATAGCCTACAGGAGTAACTTTTAGATTTTAGAGAATCTTTTATACATTTGCTGCGAATGGTTAAAACACTTGAAGTAACTACACCAATCTCTTATGAATGTAAGTGTTTAAATAATGCAAAGATAATGTAGACCTCCGCAGTCCATACTTTATCTGATAAGACAATACCAAACCACTGACTCAATTATCTTTGTTTTGCATTAATTACTCATAGTAACTGTTACTTTCTCATTAGGCAGAAACTCTCCTCATATCAGAGCTACTGTAAGTTAATTCAGTCTGATAGTACATCTGGAGAAATACTTAAAACATGAATAGAAAATAAATAACAAAACTAATAAATATATGAATTAACAAATAAGATGTATTTTAATTGCCTAAATATTGTCAAAGTTTTGTTAAATGTGAAAAAGTTTGTTTTTAATCACAGCTTCCCGAGTTTTTCACTTTTATCAGAAATTGTTTTCACTGTGGAGCCTTGAATGTGTAGACCAGTGATCAAGGAGCTGAAAACAATTTACCACATGATGGAAACAGTATGTTTAAGTAAAACATATTTCTTGTATGTAGATTTGATCACCAACACAGTTCTCAGAATAAGTCCTGATGTATAGATAGTAGATTCAGTTTCAGACGCAAAGTTCCTGAGACACATTCAGGCCACAACTCTTTCATTACTTTCACTTCTCAGAAAGCAGTGCACTTCTAATCGTTACCTTATTCTGTAAAAACACTTTCATATCCCAATAAAATCATAATATATTTTAGAACAATCCCTCTTTCTGTGTCACTAGGAAAGAAAACTACCCACCAATTACGTCACTGTAAGAAGCACAAGCGATCTAAGATGGAGTTTCCATGTGTGAAGGACATGCAATGAACAACAAGACCAATTCTTTCAATTCTTTACATTTATTAAGAATGTAAAAAGAACAACAGAGTATGTATTCTTCCAAAACATAATGAAAAACAGAGGAAGAGTCTAAGCAGGGTGGGATGAAAAGAGTCTGTTGCTTCTCAGAACAGGAGTGCTGATCTACAATCAGGTTGCTAGACCACAAATCCAAGGATGTAATAATAGCAGAAATTGAAGGGGATACTTGTGGAAAGCAGGAGAGAAGTGTTGATGTCAATGGATGTAAATTGTGAGTGCATATAAAAAAAATGGAATATCAGCTCCCCAGTTAATGCAACTTCTGGATCAACACTCCTATTCTAAGAAACTTGATGTTAAAGGGCCAAACCAACAGATTGAATGTGGAAATAACAGGCCAAAGACAAAAGCAGAGAACAGAGAACATTTCCCTCCTCAGTCCTTCCTCAGTGGTATGGTCTGCTCATTGATGCCCTCCTTAGTGATGACACAAACACGAAGGGCATCTCCGGTATAGACATCTCTCTCTGCGGCCGAGATGAAGACATCTTTGACCAGCTGAACGGCCTTGTCCCGAGTCAGAGGAACATGCTGAACACCCTCCATGTTCTTGAATCCAATCTGTGGAGGGAGACAGACAGGAGTGTACCTTGTGACCACTGTGAGGAAACCTGATGATGAACCTGGTCGGTATTCAGTGTGTGTTATTTACCTGGTTGTCTAGTAGCGGTTGTAGCATGGCACTTGCTGATCCTCCAGCCTTGTAGGTGTCTCTCTGGTAGGAGCCTACTGGGTCAAAACTGTACACTGCTCCCTTGCCTACATTACAGACATAAAATATATCAAATAAAAACATGTTATCACAACATAGCAACATTCCCTGCCCCCTGCAGCAATCATACTCTACACAAGAAGCATAGCTGCAGCCTAAATATGAATACGCAGCTCTTTTACTCACACAATCCAGTGGATTTGCATACAACAGTGAAACATTTACTCATCTTAATGTCGGCAGTGATGAAGTACCTACCGTGTTCATCCAGCCCTCCGATGATGTTGTAGACATAGTAGGGGAAGAACCTCCTGCCGTACAGGATGGTGGACAACATGGCTGCAATGGCTCCACTGGTCATTGACTTATTGTTCGAGTGTTTGTACATCTGAGAATCAGAGTCAGAATCAGGTTTATTGCCAAGTAGGTTTTCACATATAAGGAATTTGCCTTGGTAAGTTGCTGCATAGAGAAAAAGATGAAAATGAGACAATAAGAAGAGACAATATATAAAAATATAAAAAGAGACAGAATTTGTTCAACATGGCTGTATACTTAAATAAGTGAAGAGCTCTACATAAATGTGCAAAAAACTGTCCAGGAAATCTGCGTGTTAGCAGTGTGAAATATAATGATGTGCAAAGTGCAATAATGTAACGCATATATTCAGAGTGATGGGTTTAAGAGTCTGTGTCAGTGGGGGTCCCAGGCCTTGTTCATGAGGCCAGCTGCAGATGGTAGAAAACTTGTGGCGGGAGGTTTTGGTAGTGACTCAGAGTGTTTGTGTCCAGGGTGGGAGGGAGAGTTAGTTAATTGTTTTAATTTAATAACATTTAAGAAACTTGTGACCCCCTCTGTAGGTTTTGTAGAGGTGCAGAAGAGAATTTAGTAAAACTTAAAGAAAGGTGACAAAGATGGTGTCAACTGTGGTGACTCTCTTAGAATTATCTATCATCTAAGTGTCTTGTAAGAGAGTTATTCAGACTGAAAAAAAGCAAATAATATCAGCTTCGAGTCAACTCTGTCTTGGATATCACTACGATCAACAGACAGAGGCAGGACAGTTAGCAGAGTCAGCAGAATTAGATCTAAGATACTTAAGACAAAGTGAAACAAAAAAAAAAAAACCTAGCTGCACCCACCTTTAGTCTGGCATCAATGATTTTAGTCAGAGTCAAGCAATCGCCATGGAAACCGCTGCAGCCAATGACAGTTGTGTCTGTCCTGTAAGGGGAAGAAGAAGCACAAAAATCAGTCACAGTCAGAACAGCATATTATTCAACTGAGCTCGATTAAAGTGGTACAGACAAGTGATTTTAGCCACAGATAGCAACTGGTGCTTTGCTCAGGGGCACTGCAGATAGTCAACTTAACGCGCCCCTGACACACACACACACACACACACACACACACACACAATCTTAAAACACAGCTGCAGTGACTTCAGTGGTTTTAATCCAAATTAAATATTTTCTGCACACAATAGCAGCAGGTACATGGACCTGTGATATAGTCAAAAGAGCTGACATGGTATCTTAATATTGCCGATCTGCTGCCTTTCATTGACAGTACAGGGAAGTGACTGTGCACACTTACAGCTTGTAGCATTTTGGTGAGTCCCGGCTGTGGATTGAATAGCCTTCACTCAGCCTGGTGTCTGAGGCTACGATGGCAAAGTCTTCTCCGGCGACAGCTAGTACGGTTCTGAAAAATAAAAAAACCACAACACAGGCTGGTTCATTCATCTTACAGACCACCTCACCAAGAGGAAAATGCACTGTTGTCCCACACACTTGCTAACGGAAGCTAAGCTACTGACTCGAAACTGAAACTGTGGTATCGACTAATCTTTCCCTTTTAAATGTGTGGCCTATAATGCTGATGGATGATGAACTCAATGTGCACATACAGATAAAGCGAGGATGCTTTGTGTCCTGGACACAGAAGCTCGGCTCTGTTCACATACTTTTCATTAACTTAATCTTTGTTTAGATTCAGCTGGCATATCGTCTGCTGAGCTTGTTAGCTTGTTAGCTTGTTAGCACAGTCCAGTTAGACTGTAAACGTTAGCAAGCAGGCTAACTAGCCAGCAGGTTGAATAAATCAAACTCACCCTCCGTTGAAGGCGTATGGGGAGAAGCGGTGCTCGACTGGACCAGTGTAATGATACTCTTTCATCTTTCCAGGGTCTCCGAAACCATGAGCAGAAATCATTTTAATGACAGAAAGCTAACCGTGTTTAAGGTTCAGTCGGGTAAACTCGCTGTATCACTGCAATATGGCAGCTTCTTCTTCTACTGTCACCAAACCCGCGGGTTCAGCTGTACTCTGTGCGAGAGCGCCCCCCACAGGCCGTTTGAGGCAGAGCAGCAGCGGGACCAGTGTTTTAAAGGTCCACTGTGTAACATTTAGGAGGATATACTGGCAGAAATATCAATATAATGTTGATAGGTATGCTTTCATTATGTGTTGTGTCACCTGAATATAGGAATATTTGTGTTTTCTTTACCTTAGAATGAGCCGTAGTCCTGAATACTTCTCATTACCAGGTCGTCAAACACTTCACTGCTACATGCCATTTAATGTTACACACTGGTCCTTTCAAGATTTTATCCAGATGACAATTTTTTCACATTTCACTATTCAAAATTGGCTCATTTTTTCCGATTAGTTTCAGTTAAAAAAAGAAAAGAATATAAGACATATCAAAAGCTAGATAATCCAGATTTGCAGTTTGCTAGACTGGATGTTATTAGACAAAAAAGATCTACGGGACATATGACGACAATTTGTCTGTAATATGAATTAAATTCTCTGCACAACTAAATGCATCAAACATAATTTGTCCCTTTTTTGACTTCCTAATGACTAAATTAAAATCACCACTGGATGGCAGAATTCATTCAAATACTCAATTTCCTGCAAATTGTTCACTCATACATTAACACCAGCAGCTGGTGGCCGTGTATATCAAACAGTTTGTCTACAATGTAAGAATACAAATTACTTTAAAATGTATAAAATGTTATATTCATGATGCATAGGCATTGAATTTCCCTTGGGATAAATAAAGTATCTATCTATCTATCTATCTATCTATCTATCTATCTAGTCTATCTAGTCTATCTAGTCTTACTGGTCCCAAAACTAGTATTCAACTTAACGTGGTATACTAGGCAGGTAATAGGTAATAGGTAATAGGTAATAGGCATGAGTCTTTTTAAAGTAGCTTTTATTGAAAAAACAAAACACTTCTTAATTCAGTGACTATGACAATAGCAACAGATATTCCATAAAAAACCTGCTTACTGAAGTACATTACAAAATACTTTCAAAAATAACATAAAAAAAAAACATATTTCAAGGTAACAGCAAAGCCATCAGCTGGATAATCATAGCTGAGGAATGTATAATTTCAATGTAATTACAGTGAGTGGTATAATTATTAATCGTGGAGGGTTGATAACAAAATCAATACATGTACAGTCAGACACTTTGTTTCAGTAATCAAGACTCACACAAATACCTGAAAAACTGCTGCAGCCACGAGGTCTACCACAGCCAGCGTCTATTACATTTCATTACACAGAATCACATCACCGTGTCATTATTGAAGACTTTGTTTGAAGAAGATTGCTCTTTACTGGCCTGCCTCATTAAATACATGTTAGTTCAAAATACCAACTGCAGTTTATAAGATACAAAAAACATTGAATTACATCAGTGAAGTTAACATTGATCGTTCCAGTAGTACAAGATCAAAAGCACCATTTGTTCAACTGAAACAATTCCCCAGCAAACAACTGATCACTGCAGAAATGAGACGGAAACTACAAGATTCATCGCTTTCATGATGCACTGATATCGTTAGTGGTTAGCAGATTAAATGATTTAGTGCAGTACATGTGGATGGATTTGATTTACAGTTAAACTGTTAACATTATTTTTGTTACTTTTGTGGTTTCTGGAGTTCAGTCAATGCTAAATCTGTTTTTGAGTACATTTAAGGTATAATCACATACAGTTTCCTTACTGACTGTGATTTAAATTACAGGCCTGCTCTTACTGATGTCATCAAAGCATTCACAGAAATGATTAATACATTTGTTTTCTAGTGTTAGCCTGTGTATTTAAAGACTTAATCAATAAAGAGTAACAGCAGGTTAAGACCTTTTGTTTGGATTGATGGTATTTGGTAGGAAGGCTACACTATTTGGATCACAATGATCTGATATTTTAAAAATGTACAGCTTCTGCAAACGACTGAACACATGAATTTGGTCAGAGTTTTGTGGTTAATGATGCCGTTGATCATTTTTTAGCCGACTTGGACTTCTTAGGTGTTTTGGCTCCTCCCTTCTTCTTGGGTGTAGAGAAATCTTTGTCACAAACCTCACAAACCCAAAGACCTGAGGAGACAGATAGGATTAATTAATAAGAGACAAACACATTATTTTAAAAGCAGTCAAACTAAACAAATGACCATAATGGAAATTATGTGTTTACAAGTCAGCTTTTGTCTCTCTTGTAATGTCCAGGCACCAGAAAGTGGTTGTGTTTCTGTTTACCCACTGTGTCCATCCACTCACCAGTAGGTATGGAGTCCATGCCCACGCAGAACGTGTGGTATCCTCTGTCACACTTGTCACAGAACATCATCTCGTCCTCATGGTGTGGCTGCTGGCACACGGTGCAGGTCTTACACTCCATACACTGCCAGCGGTACGTCTGGATCACACCCACAAGCGTCTCGCTCATGTCCAAGCAGGACGGGTGGCCTAAAGTTTATGGACACAGAGACATGAACACAGAAGCAAATGTGCATACACAGAGCCAAAAACATACAGCCACACACAGAGAAAAAAGTACATGACACACGCGAACAAACAGACATACAGAAGCGGGTCAGAAAAAAAAACAAAACACACAAGACATAATGTGAACTCATCCACATCCACACATGTGAATACTCTATCCTGTTAAGATTTTCAACACATAGAGCTCTCACTGAGCTCTTACTAGTGAGGGATGGGCGTTTATCTATCTAGAATCTACTCACATCTATCCTAAACTCAGCTTCAAAGTATTATCAAGAAAAACAAAGTTGACCTGTAGCTATTGATACACACTGATATTAATCAGAACCAGCTAAACTACACAAGCTTTACTGCAGTCACACAACAATTAAAGGCAGTATAAACACTTGCCTGAATGAAATGAAGTAACAATGGACAACATTTCATTTCACTGATGATAGACATTGTTCATTAGTCAATGTTAATCCTTTCAATCAACTGTTGGTGTCATGTGATGTTAAATGAGTGACAGGGACAACTGATTTATAATTAATGCTTATATTAATCATTCTATTATGTGGAGGATAATATACACAAAAATGAACATAACTGGCATTAAAAGTGTCAAAAAAATAAAATAAGGAAATTGTCCTTTAAAATCAACAGTGTGAACTTACCGCTGTTATCACATTGGGAGCAGTGAATGAGAGCCTCTGGTTTGCCCTTCTTGTTGGCCTCTTTACCCTTCTGGCAAATGCCACATATAGCATTGGGAATGACCTTAGGCTGCAAGGGCAGAATAATGCTATAAAAACCATCGCATCCTGCAGTCATGGACAATATAGTAGTTCAATAAATGTTTAATGACTGAAGAAAACACAAAAAAAACACTTTATCTTTACTAATGAAGACTTTTTAGACACTTTAAACACAAAATTATATCACCTGGAATCAAAGCTGTCCTCCAACTAGCTAGTTAGATAGTTTTAAATGTTACCAACCTAGTTCTTGTTTTTAAGTTGTTGGGATTTTTTGCTACAAAACTAATGGGAGTGTTTGTGCCAAGGAGCAACCCTAGGTTACTGGGCCTCCAAGTACTGAACAGAGTTCTTCACAATAAACTGAAACAGGGTCCAAGGTACCTGGAGAATAAAATATATTGAACGGTACAAATGCAAGAAAGGGGTATGGTGTCTAACAGACCCTCTTGCAAGCATCTGGCATCTACGGCAGATTAATTTCCTCTGTGGTCAAGGATCTTGCAGTGCTGTTTTTATAAGAGAAAGTCCTACATTGCTCATTATGTATCATGTACGAATGTTGCTATTGGTAAGATATGGAAATCTGAAGAGTTGCTTTCTATGCAACATTCAGTTCAACAAGGGTCACAGAGGACAGAACCAGAGCAGAAAAATAAGGAGGCTTGGGGACATTTAAATCAGGATGTCACACTGGGAAACATTAAAGACTTTTAATGCGTCTATATGAAGCCACACACTCAAAATGGGGAATACACAACGTAACTACAACGGACAATGTGACTCAAACTTTTAAACACAATCTGTGAAACAGTAATAATCTTAAGAGCTATCTTAAAAACTATGTGTGTGCGTATTTTATGCCGGTCCTTAAGCCAACTGTATCCCCAAAGTTGACAATCTATGGTCGTGTAAGTCATTTCACTTTGTTTTCATGGGTTAAACATGTGTGTTTTGTTTAATGTACATCTTGTCTAGTTACTTCTACTGCCTCAACATAGTGACATCCTTCATTAAAATGTCCCCTGACAGGAAGTGATCAAGTTAGTCTAAACAGCCATAGGTATAAAACTATGGGTCAGTAAAGGACATGGTTTGGTAATGATGAAAATCCAAGACTAGAAACAAAGCAGACAACTAAACTAATAGAGAAACAGCAGCAGGAGAAGGAAATAAGAAAAAAGAGAATCGCCCACTGTGGTCATTTTCATACTTCTGTGCATATGTAAATACATACTGCACCACCATTTCTACAGTTCATACCTATGGCCTCGCTCAGTTACTGAAATCCTAGGTAGAAGGATCGCCCCTATTGCTACTGTGAACTGTCTCTATACAACTGTAAAGATTTATTTGTGGCCACATGAAGTGCTTACATTACAACCAACCAACACGTAAAGACAAAAATGAGCATTTCATGAGTTTGAATCCAGCTAGATTGAATAAGTTTTATTCTAAGTTAATTGAATTCAGTCAACACAAGATATACTGTATTTTATGTACATAAAATAAAAGGTGCTCACTTTCAGGCATGTTAGCTTTTATATAATCTGGTAGCTTTTGTATGGCATCATATAGCTAATAAACATTTTGTGTAATTCAGACACACAGGCATACATACAGAGAAACAGAGATAACTATAATGGCTGACCACACATCCATCCACAGCTAGTGGATTCCACTGATTTTAGATCAATGGATGATATGGTATAAACATCTTCTTTTTGCTTTTATTGACATGTTTATGTCTCTGCTATCAAGAGATTTCTATCATGTAAATAAGTGATAAGGTAATACTAACGACCTGTTAGCTGTGCCTCACAACTTCCCATCTGCCTGGGTTGAACGTACATTATAACTCTAGTCAACCTTGCATCTCACAGTGATACCCATGGCCCTCAAATTCAATATGTCTGACTAACAAAATAACTAACTCATCAAACCAACACTACACATTCCCTGGTAGACTGAGAGCAACATCAGGGGCAACACAAAATAATAATAAATACTGATAAACTCATATAATCTTCTTCAGTTGATATTGTATGCAACTGCATCACACAGTGAATCCAATATCTTCATCTCCTTAATGTCCTGTCTAGGGATGCTCGATATTGGCTTTTCTGCCGATATCCGATATTCCGATATTGTCCAACTCTCAATTTCCGATACCGATATCACCCGATACCGATATATGCAGGCTTTTTACACCAAAACTGTTAGGTAACAACATAACATATCTCCTATTGTGGAATTAACACATTATGCCTAATTTCATTGTGATGCCCCACTGGATGCATACATAAATGCAACATGGCTTTCCAAATGTAAACACTGTCTGTTGTAAGAGAACAACTTCAACTTTCATTGTATTAATACTGAAAAGAGCACTAAAGCTAATCGCTAGCTAAGTACTAGCTTTGGTTAATGTGTTTGTGTTAATATTAAAATCATTCAGCTTTAAATTGTTTGCTTGTTAGCCACGGTTAGCAACCAACCAGTCTAGGGTAGTTGTTGTTGTTATATGTCATCTAGCACGCGCCGGTAAACGTCCCATGCTGCGTTCATGCAGACTCGGAAATGCTGAAGCCTACAGAACAAACATCGGTTATAAAAACCCGACACCGATGATTCCCGATATTACATTTTTTAGTCAATATGGGCCGATAATATCGGACATCCCTAGTCCTGTCTGTGTATAAGCTGAGTTGAGCCATAACGTTCATTATCTAGAATCATTCATTGACCTGAACATGTCACGTTAATGCAACATAGATTTAACATGTATGTAACATGCAAAATGTATCACATTATGAACAAAATTATTGTGTGGAGGCAATTACTCAATCTAATTCCAACATTGTTGTTCATTATAAGTTTTTATTCATGAGCTGTTTGTGAAATACCACACTACTAATCATGAAGTCATCATTATCCACTGCACATACTGTAGATGGTTGCCAGACCAGAGCGAAGTAACGTTAATCAGCTAGCAGCCTGCATCACTGATCCAAAGTTTTGCTGTCACATGTAGTGTCTTTTGTGGAGACATAAAAGTCATTAAAATGAATCACTAAATCTTTCATGTGCTGGGATTTTGTGAAAAGGGGAAAGATAGATGAAAAATCTATCAGTGAAAAGGGTACATTTTAACCAGAGTTACAAAACTATGGATCATACTTAACTTCTGTATATTCAATTTTTTTCAAATACAGAAATGCCTGAAAGCTATTACATCTCTAGGTCCTTTGGTACTCATCACAAATTGATACAGTACAGAGATATTGTGTTACTGACTAATTCTAGTGAATTTTGGCTACCAACATGCCATGCCATGTCTGTACGCTAAAGAATATGCAAAATGATCTGGTGAATAAAGGTCAAGTAAAAGTTAAGGTAAATCAAACTTAAACACACTGAAACTGGTAACTGGTAACAGACACTATAAAAGGGACCATGCCCACACCACAAAGCTGAGCTGAACTCAACTGGACTTACCCAGGTCCATCATACTCTCATTAACAGTAATATACCAGCATTTTTTTTCCCTCTGCAAGGTAGAGGATTAGAAAAATGAAACTGTGGGCTGTAGGTGGCACTTGGTTCTCTGAAATAATACTATTTTCCCATCTACAGTCCCGTGAACATTTAGATGAAATCAAGGCGTTTATTAAAAATCACTACCGAAGACATGCCGTGACTAGGTGTTAAATAAAGATAAGCTGATGTGGGGCTCCAAGCCCAGACAGACAGCATACAGACTACCTCTAGCTCAGCTCAGCAACAGTGTGAACAAGGTCAGCAAGTCCTCATCTCTCCAAGATGACATTATAGGGACAGGTAAACCCCATGTCAAACAGCTGTCTGATACTTACTAACATTTAACAGTACATCACATGGTGTATAAACAAAGCATATTATTATACCAATACACACTTAAAACATTAGGGTTAAGTGCATTCAACACTTCAGATATAAATGTTAATATTCTCTAGTGATAACATCAACTACTTTTTAAAAGCAACCACAAACTGTATGTGGCTTATATTTTCTGAATCAGTATAACAAAAAGACTTTTCATTTCAAAAATGAAAAAAGAAAAACTAGCAGCCAAAACATCCACTTACTTGTCTTGGAAGTATTTTTTTTTTTTTGACAAGTGAGGACAGACAAGAGGTATATTGAAGACATTCAAAAGGAAAAAAACTTTTAAAAGTTCAAATTTGTCTTCGCTGAAAAACCAAAGTGAAAGTGCAGTGAAAAGGAAACAAGTGAACTGTTCCTTTAAAATGTTCTTATTGCTCACAGTCTGGTACGAAGAGGGGAAAAAAAGCCACGTAGTAATCATAAAAACAAAAACTGAAGACAGGACCCCCAATGTGTGTGTGAATGTGTGTCTGTGTATCTGTGTGTGTGTGTGTGTGTGTGTGTGTGTGTGTGTGTGTGTGTGTGTGTGTGTGTGTGGGACCAGGTTGTCCCAGCTCACCAGGTGACAAACTGTAGAAGCCGGAGAACAAAGTGGAGAAAGCTAAGGAGGGGTGGCGGGATGGATGGAGTAAGGGAGTGGTAGTAGTAGAAAGAGGAGGAGGGGGTAGAAAAGTGCTGCTGCTGCTGTTGGAGAAGAGTTCAGATGCTTTTGTCCTCTACCTTGTACCCTGGGGTGGCTTTGTGGGAGGCAGAATGGCGATGGGTGCCGTCTTTTCCTGGGGTGGATGTCCTGTCTTTGCCCTTGGATTTGTGGCCGTGTCCTCCTCCCTCTTGGCTCTCCACGTCTGATGCGTTGCCTGAAGAACTGTCCTGTAGAGGAACAGAAGAGGAGGGAGATGGTGTGAGCGACAATAATTTATTTCCATGTTGATATCTGAGTCAAGTTCAGTAGAGATAAATTACTCTGATGTGGGAATCAAATAGTGGACTTCTACCATTAAACATCTGTATCACTAATCCAGGATGTATGTATGATGTAACACAGATCCAAGCAACTAGAGTGGCACAGCCTAAAGTCTTACAGATGAGTTCTTGTTCTTTTTGACATCCTTGCCATCCTCGGCGTCGTCCGAGTCAGGTTCCGAGTCCAGCGCAGGGAGCTCTGGGTCCAGTGGAGGCTCAAACAGAGCCGTGTTCAACGGCAAGTACCGCAGTTCATTGGGAGAGTACCTATCAACACAATGATGCATCAGGGACAAAACATTCAGCACAGTATATAATACAGGCTGAGAGATTATCCAAAAAATCATTTCAAGAGCGTAATGTACCTTTTGTAGTACTCTTGGAACTGTCCTGGTATGAGAGCCACAGGGTAGGGGCCCGTCCTCGTCAGCTCTGGAGCCAGCACCTTGAACCTGCCCTGGGGTACCTGGATAATCTGAGAGAACATTTCTATTGTAAGCACAGCCAATGATACACAAAGCTCTTTTCTGAATCCCTGTAAAATCTCACTGAGTAAATCGTCTGTTTTCCCATGTTGGACTCACATGTGTCTGGAGGTCAAAGTAAGCTCTCCTCTCCTCCATACGCTCCCTGTTAAAGTTACTATTGAACTCTGCAGCTTTTTTCGCTGCCTTCTTAATGTACTCAGGAACCTTGCTGGCCTCCACCTTCTGGGGGTTCTGCTGCTGCATTTGCTATGAAATACGAGAGACACAGACTGTAAGAGATATTGTTCATAAATGAGAAAGAGAAGAGAAAAAGGAACACTTTCATTAAATGCATTACAGTAAAAAATTAAATGCCACAGTAATCACCAACCTAAAGACATTTCTTAAGTTTGTATACTCACAGAGTACTCTTTAGCTATTCTCTGTCGCTCCCTCTCCTGCAGTATGACAGAATACTCAGAGTGTTTGGTGGGATACTCCTTTATCATTAGATCTATCACCTCGTCACTCCGCAGAGCTGTCAGACCTGGAAACACACAGGAGTTACACTCTGTACACTCTTCGACTGCGTCAAGCACACTGACGACTTATAAACAAGGTAGAAACCATGTTAAATGGTCTGATAGTGTCTGAGGTGTAGTTCCTACCCAGGGTACACTGTGTCTCAGTAATGACGTTCTGTTCACGTAGGTAAAGCTTCTCTTTGTGGGACAAGTCTCTTCTCTCCATATCTACAGAGTGACAAAAAACACATCACCGGTCGAGGAAACGCTTGATCTTCACTTCAAAATACAAGTAAAGAAGAATCATTACAGCAGTGTGACAGAAGACAAAGCCTATTTTTGTATCATTAATGTACAATACTTGTATTATTGTAGTATTATTACTGGAATGGTCCTCCTCTGTAAATCTACACAGAACAATTTAAATATTACTACTATTACTTAATATTACATATATTACAAGTACAATATAATACAGTAAAACGTTTTTCCATAGATTCCACACTAACATCATAATCTACAATAAATAATTAACTGATCATTTTGGATCAACATATCAATAGCATTATATTATAGAATCAATAGTGTTTTTCAGAAAAAGAGTACCACTGTATCCTTTAACACTTTGAACAGGTTCAGTACAGTTTCAGGCCGTTACTTCAATCTTACCAGGGTACTTCCTCTTGAAGGATGTGACTCCCAGATACTCGCTGACCTGCTCCTGCAGCATGTAATACTCTCCTGTGTCATCTGGAGGCCACTTGTACTCCGTCAGGTTCTCTGCTGGGAAATATGTCGGGCTGGAAGGGGGTGGAGGGACAACAGTGAATAAAAAAAAAAAAAAAACTCTTTTAAAAGCAAATTTAACCAAAAATGGCACATAATGCTGTGTGGAAATTATATTATATATTATTAAGTATGTAAAATGGAAACGCATGAGACTGAAGAGGGCTACATGTGCAAATCCTGCAACCACATGTATATACAAATACATTATGGCGGTACAGCAAAAGGGAAAATCTGTTATATAACAACAAACACATCTGAGCCCTTAGGTTATCCAGACTGCTGTAAAAGAAATCTTTGCGATGCCCATTTATTGCTCCATACCAAGTATTGAGCCAACCTACCCAAGGTCTTGACTGGAGGTGTCGCAGCTTCGAGAGCTGTCCCCTGATCCCATTCTCCTTCTCTTGGGAGGCTGACTGCTATCATTGGACTCCTCTTCTATCACATCTTCCTACAGAGACAAAAAACACACAATTAATATTACTGATGCCAGAATAATCCCAATGTTGGTGTCCTTCCTTCTGACTTAATCTTAATTGTGGGAATATTTCATCTTTAAAATCCAGTTTAGTGTTTCTGAAACGAGTTTATCCTTAGGACCTTCAAGCACAGCCTCAATGATTAACACACAACCAAACTGTACAGACTTTGTAACTTTAACACACACACACACACACACACACACACTTTAAAAACAACAGTGTATATTTCTGGACATTCTCAGACCTCCTTTAAACCACAGTGTGCATTTTAGACCAGGCACAATGAAGTTATATTAACATTATATCTATCTGGTCTACATGAATGTGTTTTAGAGATGGAGGAGGTGCTGCCTCACACACAGAAACAAACACATGAGCTTGTATGTAGAGTTAGTGGTGACGGGGAGGGATAAGGCACAAAAAGGTTACCACTATAAAACCACTCATATCATTTAGAATTAGACGTTTTGCTTCTTCTACGGGCATGAAGAAGTAATAAGTGTTTAAACACATGCAACCCTCCACTACCATCCCGCACACACATGAAAACAAAGGAGTGACGCTAATGTCGCTAACACTTGTCATTCATGGACGGAGGCAATATTGGCCGTTGGACAGCTAACTAGCCGTTAGCTGATCAAGCAACCGTGCTCGTGAACAGAGATCAATATTATTCGTGTTTTCTGCGGAATACAAATGTCACCTTTATGGATTGTGCTCCAGGAGTAGCGGGGTTGCTATCGCAGGGCGGTCTAACGGGGAGCACAGCAGCCATATCTCGCTAAATAAAGCCTGCAGCTAGGCTAGCTCACTAGCCACCTCTCCGTCGTCTTCTTCTGGTAAAGTTTTGTGGCGGTTTGAAAACATCAACGTACACAGTCGCCACCTTCTGGGCTGGAGGACAGGTTGGGGTATTACCTCGCTACATATTACCTGTGATTGTGATATTTAAATTATATACGCTATAATTATATTATTCTAATTCAAATATCAATTCAAAAACAATACATATCACTAACTTTCGATTAATTTGAGTGATATTGACATTGTCTGTCTCACAAACGTCCAAACACTGTTAGCAGGTGAAACAGCACCACCCTGTGGCAGTTTTAAGGCGCTACAAGGCTCAATCCGTTAAGGTAGCTTTTATTTTGAAAATACAAACCACGTACGGGAAGTCGGAGGGGAAAATCAGCTGGAATCCGCGGAAATCATCAACAGGACTATATTCCTTTACTTGGCTAGCTATCCATCTGTCAATTTCTATTCCCCCCTTCTTTCCTTTGTGCTGTCTAAACGCCACACTGGCGATGTCGGAGTCTTACGGTAAGGAGGCTGTTTCGACCAGCAGCCACCGCTAACACCTTCATGTAGCCACAGAGACGGGATGAGGCAGGTGTGTCGAGAGAGCTTTTTTCTCATCGTAAATAGATAGCTGACGGGCTAACTGAGCTGTTACTTAAGGCTGCTGGCCTTAGAAATGCCATGTCAGCGTAAGTAATACCACAGAGGTTATACAGTGGAGTTTAATGAGGCTGTGAGGATAAAACGCATCGTTGTTTTTAAGGTTACAAATCCCCTCAGAGGTTAGCGGAGTGGACAGGAAGCTGACACCTGGGGACGATGGAGCTGGCATTAAGATCTGACTGAGCTGTACATCCTGTAAAGTAGATACAATGCAAGGACTGTATTGGGGGGGGTTTATGTCCTAGCTTCACCATCCCAGTGAATGAATGAGGGATGTTCATATGACCACAGCTGATTATGAGCATGGCTTTTACATTGTTTTTGCTATTGAATCTTTTTGTGCAGCACTTTGGAAACCTTGTGTTTGTTAAAATCGTGCTATATAAATAAAGTGGATTGGATTGGATTGGATTGCATTTATCAGTGAAGTGAGGTTGTTTGTTGCCATTCAGGTCTCACTGAAGAAGGTAGAAGAATGTAGAAACAACTTAAAGCATAGCTGTGTGCATAATTGTACTCTGCAAAGTACCAGTATGCTGTTTTCTTTTCTTTTGTTGTATTTTATGATGGTATTGATTTGGTTTTTAAGGACAATACTCATATTAATATTTGAGAGTTAGAAAATCTAATAATATATGTCAGCTGCTAAACTGGCAACTCATCTCCTGTAGACAAACAGTGTCCTGGCTCTCATGTTTGCTGTAACAGCAGACAGATCTTGTGTTGTGTTTGTTGTCTGATACATTATTTCTGTTTTTACCCCTCAGATTTCCTGTTTAAATTCCTGGTGATTGGGAATGCCGGAACAGGCAAATCCTGCCTGCTGCACCAGTTCATAGAGAAGAGATGTGAGTCAGAAAGATGCATCAAACCATGCATTAATTCCTGATAATGTACACCTCATCAGGTATTAAACGTTACTTAACAGACGATTGCTCTGACCTCCAATGTAAGCGCAGTGTTATAACACAGTACAACTGTAAATGTGTTAAAAACTAATGCAGCAAATGTTGTGTAAATGTATAAATAATTAACACGTATTGACATGTGAAAATTAGATTTGCTTTTTTTAGCATATCTCAGAGACAACAGTGCGTCTGTAGAGATAATAATATTCACTGTCTGGTGTCTTTACTGAAAAAATACTCTGCAGGTCATCACTGTGTACTGCAGGTATTTAATTATAATGGCAACATTTTATTTTGTTTTCCAGTTAAGGATGAATCCAACCACACCATTGGAGTGGAGTTTGGCTCTAAGATCATAAATGTGGTCAACAAAATGGTCAAACTGCAGATTTGGGACACTGCAGGACAAGAGAGGTTCAGGTAGGGAAACAATCCCAACATAACTCTACGTGGTCGGTTAGCGGTTGGCAAATTTAATCCTTCTCAGTACAAACTTCACTATTGGAGAGTACTGGAGAGCAAATCAAATGTTTTTTGTGTGTGGATGTTTTCAGTTTGAAGTTTACAGTCAATAAAGTTTTATTGTGTATTGCTATGTTTTGTAATAACATGGGGCTGGTTATTGGACTGTGCCTTTTCTGCCATGACAACCTGACACGTCAACTTTAAGAGAGTGACATAAAGTTTATTTGTACTTCCAAAGAGGGCAATGATAGAAACCACATTTGACTATCTGCTAATTTTGTGTCTCTCTCTCTCTCTCTCTCTCTCTCTCTCTCTCTCTCTCTCTGTGTGTGTGTGTGTGTGTGTGTGTGTGTGTGTGTGTGTGTGTCAGATCTGTGACCAGGAGTTACTACAGAGGAGCAGCAGGAGCCCTGCTAGTCTATGATATCACCAGGTAAATGAGCCAATCCCAGGACATGATCTCAGCTCCCTTGGTATTTATATTTTAGCCAGCTCCCCTCTCCTTCCTCCTCTTCAAAATGTGTCTCTTCCCTCTGTCTCTTTGTCTCTGTACCCTGCAGTCGAGAGACGTACAACGCGCTGACCACGTGGTTGAGTGATGCCAGGATGCTGGCCAGTCAGAACATCGTCATCATCCTGTGTGGGAACAAGAAAGATCTGGACGCCGACAGAGAGGTCACGTTCCTGGAGGCTTCGCGCTTCGCTCAGGAGAACGGTAAGATCAGGATCAGAACAGTGGGATTTAAAAAAAATATATTTCTCTTAAAAATTCTGATAACAGCGAAGGAGCTTAATTATCTCAGTAGAAAGGGAACTTCAGGTGTTGACCTCATATTGTTAGAGGAAGGACATAATTTTTTGGGTATGTCATTAGCACCTCAATTTGTCTGAAATAAGTGCTATTTTCTTCTGTTCTGCAAAGAATTATGCTGCTCAGAGCAAATTGTATTGTTAATGCTGCAAAGAGCTGAAAGTGTGTGTGTGTGTGTGTGTGTGTGTGTGTGTATCAGAGCTGATGTTCCTGGAGACGAGCGCTCTGACAGGGGAGAACGTTGAAGAGGCCTTTGTCCAGTGTGCTCGGAAAATCCTCAACAAGATAGAGTCAGGTAGGAACTGCGATCCTGAACTATAACCCTAACCCCCGACTCTAAATCCCTTCTTATCCTGTTGGGATCAACAAGGCGGGCTTAGGTATGACTCCAGACCTCCAGACACCGCACTGTAGCAGCTCTCACAGAGAATTTTTCAGAGTTAAAGTCAGAAACAAATCTCCCATCACTTACAAGCCCCATCTGTTAAACCTTCGTCTAGCTGGAGCCTCATTCCTGGAGGGCCTCAGCAACTTAAACAGAAATACTATTTTTAAAAGCAGAGGAGGATTTACACAGCTTTTTTAACTGATTTTAAACTTAGTAAGTGCGATCATCATGATATATTTGTTTTGTACCGCGACTGGCTGGCACTTTTTTTATAACCTGCATTCCTAATAATAATTCAACTGTATTATTCAAAATTCCTAAAAAACACCATCTGTTCAGAGTTGTTGGAGATCCCTACAGGAACCCCACCGCTCACTTCTTGTGTCTCTCCACTCTCTTTCAGGGGAGCTGGATCCAGAGAGGATGGGCTCAGGTATCCAATATGGCGACGCTGCGTTACGACAGCTTCGCTCTCCTCGCCGCGCTCAGCCACAGGGCACCCAGGAGTGTGGTTGCTAGTGGGCACGCCCAGTAACACACACACAGACAAGGTGAAAGGACCGGAGGACTTGTGTGTTTGTGCTGCATTGTAAGATTCCTCTGCAGCAGCTCTCTTTCACATTAAGAGACGTCAGAGCTCACGGAGCCCGGCTGGAGCGACTTTACATTCTGCTCGTTGCTCTTGGTGCTGTGCATCTGCGGCACCCAACCACTCGTTGTGTCCCTCCTGTCACTCATCTCGTGATTTACAAACCTCGCTCTGAATTCAGATTCAGAGTGGAGGCGTATAAAGAGCATTTTTAGTCATTTTTGCTGGTTCTTCAAACTTAGTTCAATAAATGTAAAAGGAAGCATCTTTGGGATGCCTTCATTACAGTTGTTTTAATGCTGGTAATAATTGACTAGTTCCTTAAAGGATAAGGCTGGTGACATTATTATTGTTATTATTACTACTACAATGTTTTTGTTACTGTCAACATATTCCATAAAAACCAACAATGTATTCTCTCAGCACTTTCCTACTCCCCCAGCTCGCTGTGGCTCTCGGACCCTCTGACCATTTCTCTTTGAAAATGTAAAGAGGTTTCTGTTTCATTAAGGAAAAGGCTAAATAATCTCTGGGTGCTGTAGCTTTTAACGAGTACATAGTGTGTGTTTTATTTTCAGTTGTGGATGGGACTGTAAACTACAGTCTCCATAGTGACGGACCTTGGTGCTTACAGCTGTGTTGTTATGTTTTATTTCTCTCTTTGTATGTGGTTAGTGTGTTTCAGACAGGTTTGTGAAGACCAAGAGAAGAACAGCCACGGGGGGACGGTTCAGGTTGCTATGCTGGTGACTCCTCTCTGACCTTCGACCTTCGCACGGAACCTTCAGAATCTTTTGAACCTTCGTTGTCATGGCTGCACCTGCAGAGAGCCTGTCAGAACTCTGAGCATCTCCACGGTAACCAGAGACCGCCCACCCTCCAACATTCTGCTCCACTATTGGACCAAACCCTCCCCCAGCCCTCCAATCAGGATGTGAGTTGCTGACTTGTATGTAACTTCTCTTTCTCTCTCCTACCTTCTTACTTATCGTCTCTCACACCTGAATCATTTAGTTCATTTCAGTTTTCATCAATGTTCCCGTCTACCTTCCTTTTAGTGTTCTCAAAAGGAAGAGTCTACATTTTGGGAAATTTGCTTCATTGCCTTTTGTGTTCTAATTGAACAAATTAAACTATGAGAAGTGAGCATTGGTAGGTTTAATTTTGGATCAAGCCTTTTTCCCCTTCTTCCAGTCTTTATGCTAAGCTAAGCTAAACCGCCTCCTGGACCCAGCTTGATACTTAGACATGAGGTGTCGACTTTCTCATCAAACTCTTGGCAAGAAAACAATTTCTCCAAATTGCTGAATAATTCCTTTAACCACAGACATATTTAAAACCTTCTGTTACTACAGTACGCTTCTTTCTTCATCCACCTGCTCTGTTTGCCTGTTTCAAACACTCACAGTCGACTGACTACCCACCCTCGTCACACTCCTTGTACTGTATGCCTGGTTCACTCCTTTCTTACACTCTCGGCCAAATTGCATTTCATCAGCTTACCTCCGCTCCTGTCCTCCTTCCCTCCCTTCACTGCATTGTTTACACCCCATCATTCCCTCTGTTCCTACTCATCTACTTACCTGTCCCCCTGTCCGTCTCTTGACGCAGCTCTCTGCCTTTCTAAATCCCTCCCCTATCTCCCTACAGCATCTGACGCACTGTACAGTGTTTCTGTATATAGAGATTGACGCATGTTTTCTCAAACAGAATATCAGAGTATTTCATTATGAAGAGATATGTATATTAAAGTAGAAATCATATCCAGCATCTGTTTCATGCTCTGCTGTATTATTATCATGTTAAACTACAATACACTGGCAACTTGTAAGCAGTATAGATGGATAGTACTGTTTGCAGTAATTATGTTTCTTTGTTTGTGGGACAAGCTGATGTGGACTACATTATGGACTAACACATTTATCTGTTTTTATCATTGTTCAAGCTCACTGATTGAAAAAAACAGACATAGGCAGCCTGAAATATCCTGAGCATAGGTTTGACTTTCTGCAATAGTTTATTTTTAATCATCTGGAGTGTGAACGTTACTTTTAATTTACAGTGGCACATTCAGCACTCACCATTCAGTTAATTATGTGACAGTGTAACACACTTCTTTATCCAAAGGATCCTAATTATGACTAACGTCTCAAATTTATAAATGTTGCCTGTTTACATGAATACCTCACTGACCCGCTGTGGGGTAATACTAACTGAATGCATTTCAAGTTTTAGCTGTGTTATGAAACTGTTGTGTGTTTGATTTTTATTTGTCTCCAAAGATACTTTATGTCTCCTTTAAAACAACTACATAAAGCTGACAACAAATCACTTAAATCTGGGAATTGTTTGAAGGTTTAGATTTGGAGATGTGTTTTACATTGGTGTAATTAAGCATTGTTGTTTGTATTAACACTTTTCCCCTTAAAGATGATGAATTCAACTTTTAAAACAAGCACACTTCAAAACATTTCACATTAGATTTGATCCGATAGTGGCTTTGGCTGCTCCACGTCAGTTTGCTGTCTTGTGTTTATGTCATCAAGTCCTTTGTTTATGTATGTCCGTTTTTCTCTTGTCATTATGAATATCATGGATTTTTAATTTATTGTGTATGATAAAGCATATGTTTTTAAAATAAAAACTAGTACAAATATAGCATTGTCTTTGAAAAGCATTTTTTGTTTATTCAATCACCGTTTTTAGAGATGGTCTATTGCGTTATTGATGTTTTCTTCAAAGTGATTTAATTTCTGAATAATTTGTGTAACTGTAGTGTGGAAATGAACAGATAACAGTAAACAGACAGGCGGAAAAGTGATTTATTAAAAACTTTGCACCACACCATTTAACCTCAGCAGTCTTTTCCTCTAAACCATATAAAATATGTACAGACAGTATGTTAAAAGCCTAAAATATAAACATGAAAATCTAAAGTATCAGTGAATTTTACAGTATTTTGTAATTATCGTACCCTGTCTGTCATCAGTAAAGTAGATCAATTAGATTGTAACCGCAGAAAATCAGACTCTACACTGCGGTAACACTTAAAACTATTAAAATAACTATTTAAAATTTGGACATGTGGTGGCCTAAAATAATATTTAGGCCTGGTGTATGTCTTCTATTCTATACCAAGGAAACCTAGAAAAATGTGGCAAGTATAGAAATGTCTCATTAAAAGTAAAGTGTCTCTACAGTATTAAGAAGATTTTAACTATAGTTTGGTCTATAATTATTGAAGAATACAGGGATTCTTCAGAGATTGTCAAAGTTCACCACCTCTTAAAAAAAAACATTTAAATATTTAAAGTAAAATAATATTGCACAAGATTTCACATCTGTTCCTGGAACTATACTGTAGTATAACTTAAACACAGAAAAACTAAACAAAAGCACATAATGTAATACTGAACTCAGAGCTGCAACAACAAAACAAAGAAAGAAAAAAAAGTCCAAATGTAAGCACAGACCTCAAACTGCCCCGTCTTTTTCTCTGTACATTATTCACATCAATAATTATAGTTGTAAAGGGAGAAAAGTCTTCATGGCACAGAGCTCATTTATCATAATCGCTGACACAAGGAAACCAAAAAGGATCTAAATTCTCATGGTTCATATATTGAAACCCAATATCCTGAAAAGACCAGATCCATTACACAAAGCTTTCAAAGTCAATCTTCGTCTTCTTGTGTGAGCACAAATAACATTGTTTCATGTTCAATACATCGTTTCATGTTCAATACATCATTAACATACAGAGATTCAACAGATGAATGAATTACATAAGAACCTAAATAGTTGGCAAGGTGTTCTGTACAAATATTATACAGAAAGGTGACTAATTATCAAAGTGCTGTTTTATTTGGTCAGGCTTTAGAGTGTATGCTGCTTTTACCAGTAAACCCTATTTATTATGTATTTATTATCAGCTTAATGTCCACTGTTGTTGTTTGGTTCTAAAGCACATTCAGTATCAATAATGATAAAGAAAGTTGGACTCAACAATAAACCTGTGTTTGTTATGCTTTGAAAATAACCAATAATCAGCTGTGTGTTATTTTTAACATTATGTTTTTTCTGGTGGAAATGTATAACAGAAGTACACTATTCACAGTCATACAGTGTTTTTTAAATGTCACATACATCTATTTTCACACTGTAAAAGCATCAGATTGATTTGTTACTGTATATTAACACAACTAAACAACAAACACAACTATTTTAAGTCAATAACACGTAAAACTGTTAATGAGTTCAAGAGGAAATTCAACCGCCACATCACACAAATGTGACTTTACATAGAGTTTGATTCACTATTTATTCTAAACCAAATAAATTGGGATCAACCCCTAAACCATTACTCAAACCATTAAATCGACAAGAACCAGTTCACAGCACTGAGTGACCTGAAAGTCTGAAAAACTCTTAAACAGACGTAGCTCTGTATGTCCATCAATACTTCAAAGAAAAATGCCTATTCACATTGAAAGCTGCATAAATCTGAGAAAAACTTCAACATCAACTGACTGTTGATTAAACCATCTTGTTGTGCTTACTATGATTTTTTTGGAATACAAACAACTTGATTGTGTGTGTGTGTGTGTGTGTGTGTGTGTGTGTGTGTGTGTGTGTGTGTGTGTGTGTGTTGTTCTTTGTCTATATGTGGATGTACATTCTTCATTTGATCTCAGATCTAAGAAGGCGTCTGAATCTATTCAGACATGCTGCCATGTACCCCTTTGTGAATTACACTGATTCCTGTGTAAGGAATATGGGCACATTTCATATAGCCTGTGTTTAAAGGGACTGCATCAAAGTACAGCTGTTAAAATGCATTTAAAATATCTGTAAACAGTATATGTATCCATTAATTATATATTTACTTTCAAATTATTTATTTCAAGAGTCACTTCAACCTTGTAAAATGTTTCTTATTGTATATATTAAAAATCAATATATATAAAAAACATTAAGCCACGCTGTGAATTTCAGAGTTCAAGGTTTTTTCAGTTTACATCCTGAATACGAGAGTGATACACATTCAGTCCCACGCTCTATTCTACATCTATGGGTGTTTAAACCTCAGGGTTGATAGGCAATAATGGCTTTTACTTTGTATTTTTGTCTGGACTGGAAGTAATTCTGCTAAGTGTGTGTGTGTGTGTGTGTGTGTGTGTGTGTGTGTGTGTGTCCTATCGGGAGCGAGCAGAGAAGCAGCGCATGTACTCAGTGAGCCAGGGGTTGAATTCCGGTTGAACCAACTTTTTGGCCTTGTCCAGATCGGCAGACTTGGCTCTCCGGCGCTCGGTCCTCTGGGTCAGGATCTGACGCTCTACCTCCCTTCTGGTCTTCGCGCGAAGAGCTGACTCATGGATCTAGCAGTAAAATAAACATAGCTGTCAGTTTGTGTTGATAGCTCAGTCACATACAGATCTAGAGAACGACAGACCGAAGGATTACCTCATTTGTCGAAGCTACAGGCCCAACATTGTGTGTCTTCCTGCCTGCGATGTCTGCATCCTTCTCTCCTGAACCGTACAGAGCGAAAGGATGTCTGTTGTCCTTGTTGTCCTTGCTGTCCTCCCAGGGCTGCCGCGTTGGGGCGGGCCTGACCCGCTGGGAGCGCCAGGTCTGCTTTGAGGATTTGGAGGGTTTACTCTGCTGTGGTCCACCAGTGTCTTTCTCTACAAGTTGAAAAAAATAAAGCAGTGACAAAATACCAAGAGCAGAAAAGGCTGAAACAGGGTCAAAAGTCTGTTGAGTCAAATATAGATATTGATAAAGATCAACTGAGTAATCCAGTGATCAGGTTAGTGTCTACATTTATGAACCAATACTGAAAACAGTATTTGTACATCAACTGAACAAAACAATTTATTTTTCCATGACATTTCCTGACACCTCTATATAATAAGGGAGCAGTTTGGTAAAACTTTCATATGTTTATGATGTTTTGTTTATTTTTTATCAACTGAGTCATTTTACCTTAATGTTGGTTTTATTTATGTGCAGGACTCATAACCTGAAACACACTAGGGCAAAATATTGTTGGAATTTATGTTATACTAGTACCCATAAAATACCTGAGTTGACCTAATACTATGAATTTTATATATATATATATATATATATATATATATATATATATATATATATCTGTTGTTCACTAAAAGAAGCCACAGAGATTTAAGAACTGCTCAAATGTTAAATTTTGTTTAAACACAAGCAGTTATACAAGAACTTCAGCTAAATAATATTGTCTAAAATTGGCATCATTAGTCAGCAAATATCAGATTAAAGAAAGAGTGAACAAGACTAGAATTTAATTATATTTAATTTAATGCCAACTCCTGACTACTTTCTTATACTGAGTTGGTTTCAGTAGGTATGAAAAAGTCCTGTGTCCCACATTAAGCAAAGTGTTCTAGGCTAGTGCTGACATTCAAGATTACAATTTATATTTCACAAGTATTTTTAAGGTTTGCAGAGAACCTAGAAGAAGCTGACAAACCACTGATTGATGAAATATGATACCTTTAGCAGCCCTAATCAATGTAACCAGAATGAACACACAGTCATTTTGCTGTACTAGGTTTTTACATTTCCTCTGCACACAGCCTCTCTGTCATCAGCCTACAGCTCATCAGAGAGCAGGGGGAGGATTTCATTTTCACCATGACTCTGAGTCCATCTCAGGGTGTATTTGACCTACCTTGTTCCCTGTGAGGGGCTGTTAACTGTTTACTGCCCCTGCTGCTGGCTCTCTGCTCCTCTCTCTCCTCCTCTGGTACTCTCGTCTCTCTGGCACCTTCAAGCTGTGAGCCTGAGAGGAGTGAATGGCATCATATGGTAAAGTAGAGTAACATGCATACACCAAAATGAGACTGACAATCATATCTATAGCTCATGTCTTACCATGGACAGCAGACTGTCGGGCAGACACATTCACCTCCTCTTCCTCCTCTTGAAGGGGAAGCCTGGGTACAGTCAGTGTGTTTCTCTCCACCCTCGCCCCCTCACACTCCTCCAGCTCTGCCTCACCCCTGTCTCTGCTGGTCTCAGGCCGTACCTGGTTCTTACTGGGAGGAAAGGGACTCCTTCCTCCGGAGTCTGAATCAGTGTCGGAACCACTCCAGAACCAGGGGTTGTGTGTGTGCTCCAGCAGCCTCCGGGTCAACCTGTATTTCAGCATCTCCTCATAACACTTAGCATAGGTGTCCCATTTGGGGTCTTTGAATTTCTTCATGTACTCCGAGCGGATCCTCTTGGTCACCATCTTGTCGCTTTTGGAAACTCTGTCTGCTGTGAGATCCAACAATAACACCACAAAGCTGAAAAACTATCAAAAGCTAGCGTTGTTACACACGAGTAATATAATACAATATGTAATATACAGAAGCCATGCGAAACACTAGCTATATTTTCTCATTCGCAGCTCTTTAAAGGTTGGTATCACCGCCAGACATTTAAACCATAATGCGGACACAGTTGAAACCAATGGCAGAGCAGCTGGAGGCTTCCTCGGCTGATGAACCCGCCTACTTCCTCCTCCACCCGGGGGTTAGCGAGCCTCTCTGGGCTCAGGACGGAGATAAAAGTCTAGTTTTTAAAATAAACTACAAACGGTGACATCTACTCTGTAAACCCCAGTCGTCGTTTTACTGTGTATATATATATATATATATATATATATCATAAAATAAAAATGGCCTCAGGTGAGGATTTGATCGACCGTTGGTTACAGTAGAAATTTCTTGAACGTGATGACGTAACCTGCGTCCCCTCCTCTGATTGGCTGCAGCGACGTAAACGACTGCTGAATACTCCAAATTAAAGGTCAGTTGTAATCGCTGTATGAAAGCCGAAAACACTACAGGTTTTACAGCATAACTTGTGTGACAAATCATTACAACCTTATTATATTTTATATGTGCTACAATACGATGTTTTTGTATCCCAACACGTTGTGATAAGCTTATATTAAATCAGTCTTCTCGGACTGTATCATATGCCACTAGGCCTATAACCAAGTCCAGTGTAATATTCAGCATTAATCAAATGCCTGTTGCTCCACATTAACATGACAAAATGTGTCCGTGTTATTTATAGATGTATGTTAATCATATGGTAATATGGAGTACCGATAATCGCCTGTCAGCGCTGGCAGATATAGCCTAAACGTAAAATCTCCCTGACAATCCCACCAATTCAATCATCTACAACAGAGCAAGGCTTGACAGCAGAAACGCAAGGCTGTAAGAGTCTAATTTTGTGTACAGTAAATATACTTACACTGGAGTCGGATTTCACGGAAGCAGAGCAGAACAGATGGCTGCGGTAATCACAGACTGCGTCTCTTAGCTCCGCCCGCTTGAAGACGTTTTTAAAAAGCCAAACACACCCGCAACAGGTGGCTCCGAGCCGGGGTGTCAGGGAGTTATGAGACATTTGGCTGATAATGATCTCTATCAGATGATAAAAGAGGATTACAACACACTTTGATTTATTGTATCTGGACACAATGCGCAGACTCAACACATAAAAGAGCTTAAATGAGTTGTTGTTGCTTGTTAATCAGGATATAGCCTAGTGCTTTACTTGACAACTAATTACTCATCAAAAATCAAATGAATGTTTTTCTTTTGTGTGCCTACCTGTACCTGTACTCGAGAGGTTGATAAATTAAAATGTGCCTGTCCAAGAAAAAGTGTGAAGGATGTCTTATTATAGTCTACATAACTAGTCAGTGGGGTGATGATGTGAATGATGTGGGCAGTGGGCACAGGGTGGAGCACGCCTCTTTGTCTCTTTAAGCCCAGACCCAAAGCCCAGACCCAGATAACCTGCTGAGCCTCTATGCATATAAGGTAGGGCTGTGGAGATGCCCCACGGGGTCTGGTTTTGTCTAAAGATGGTCTGGGGGCCGGGGCTGCGCGAATGGTCGTGCAGGGCAGCTCAACGGGATTCAGAGCCGGGTGTCGGGTGTCCAATGCTACTGATCCGCTGGGTCTAAAAAGCGGAGCTGTTGCTGCTGCCCAGGCACATTCCTGGCAAGTCAAACTCCGACTGTCAGAGCTTGAAGGCGTGTCTTTGATTACCTCTGTCACCCAGCAGTCCCCCAACCAGCAGTGGTTGATGGGACAGAAGAGAGAGACAGCCTGTCTCTCTCCTTGTCACCCATCCAACTTGATCCCGGGAGCCTAGCCTACACCCCCTGTCCTCTGTGAACCTCCCCTTGTATGTGATCAGTTGATTGGTTTATGGGATAGCTGAAGTGTGTGTCATGGGTATGTTTAATTGCTGAGTCAATTAAGCTTCTCCTGAGCTTAATTGTTATGTTTATTTTGGTTAATTTTTCTAATATCCCCCAGTTCTTGAGATTTGATATTGATTTTTTTAAGCTTAAATTGTATTATGAAATAATGGTTATGAAAAGAAACTTGCACCTTTTAAATGATAGAAATCTTCCCCATTCCAGTATTTCTAGTGTAATATTCACTAAAGCTTTTGTTTTTCATTCTCTCCCTCTATCAGAAAAACAAGGCCGGGGTCAGAAATACCAAATAATGGACTTTAATAAATTATCAATATGTATATACACTTACATTCACATGTGTTGGGCAACATGTTGTTGTTATTTTTTTTTATTAAAGTTTTTTAGGTGGATGCATGGTTCAGTGGTGTTTTCACAGCCTCTCTCCGTGCAACACAGACAACAAACAGCTATAAAATATGCACATTTTTAAAGGATAACAAAATGCATATGAATGTCAACAGCGCAGACAGAAAGTCCATTGACAGCAGAGTGTTGGTGTGCCGCAGAGGTTGATCCTGCTTCTCGCTTGAACTCCAAACAGCTGGTGGTGTAAATGATGGAGGTGGAGGAGAAGCTGGAGAAGAAGGAAGATTTAGAAGCACTTCCTGTGGACAATGCTGGGGCCTGCCTCGTCGTACTCCTGCTTGGAGATCCACATCTGCTGGAAGGTGGACAGGGAAGCCAGGATAGAGCCACCGATCCAGACGGAGTACTTCCTCTCGGGTGGGGCAATGATCTGGAGGAGAAGGAGAACTCGATCAGTAAAGTGCCACTCCTTAATATTCACATCATCTGTTCAGTAGATTTCTGTGCGTAAGTATCAATTCATGCGTAAAATATTTCAAGTTGGGGATAAATTGCTTTTTTTTTTTTGTTTTCATAATAAGTACCTTGATCTTCATGGTGCTGGGGGCCAGAGCAGTGATCTCCTTCTGCATACGGTCAGCAATACCAGGGTACATGGTGGTACCACCGGAGAGCACATTGTTGGCGTACAGATCCTTACGGATGTCAATGTCGCACTTCATGATGCTGTTGTAGGCGGTCTCATGGATACCAGCAGACTCCATACCTAGTCAGGTGAGAGAGACAAGTGTTAAGAGGGGAAGCGGTTTCCAGCTTGGCACAATCTTACTTGTGTCGTTCGATAATGTGAGAAAGTGAAGGATTATCTGGCGTACCGATGAAGGAAGGCTGGAAGAGGGTCTCGGGACAACGGAACCTCTCGTTTCCGATGGTGATGACCTGTCCGTCGGGAAGCTCGTAGCTCTTCTCCAGGGAAGAGGAGGAGGCGGCGGTGGCCATCTCATTCTCGAAGTCCAGAGCCACATAGCAAAGCTTCTCCTTGATGTCGCGCACGATCTCACGCTCGGCTGTAGGGGGGCAAGTTGATGAGATTTTAGTCAGAGTGACAAACAGCCGGGACTAAAGACACAGTGCGTAATGGCAAAACTAATTAAGTGGGATGAACTAAGAAAGTGACTCGAAATCACAGAAATGTCTGGAGCTGCTTATCTTAAACATACATGTACTTTAATAAATAATAAATAATAATAAATTCCTAATTTTCAGTAGGCACACGGGCAGTAATAGGTTACACAAGCCGTGTCCACTGCGATATTAAATGAAAGTTTGTAGCCTTCGTCTTTGCATCTGTCTCTAAATGGTGCATTAATCTTTGTTATAGTTGGTCAGATTTCTGTCAGATTTAGTTATGTTTGTGAAATTGTTTAAAAACTGCTAGTAAAAGTAAGTTATGATGGTAATTTAGGTTCTACTTTGCCATAAAGTATCTGCTTAAAGGTGGTCTATGCTTCTTTCTTTCTTCCAGGTGCTTTGTAAGTAGAGCTGGTCAGGTTTCTTACCGGTGGTCACGAAGGAGTAGCCACGCTCAGTCAGGATCTTCATCAGGTAGTCGGTCAGATCGCGACCAGCCAGGTCCAGACGCATGATGGCGTGGGGCAGGGCGTAACCCTCATAGACTGGGACGTTGTGGGTCACACCATCACCAGCATCCAGCACAATACCTGGAGAGAGGCAAAGCAAGAGTTTAGTAAAGTCCAGGTGAGAAAAAGCGCTCAAATATTTATGTTTTGTGCGTAAAATTGTGGCCAAAGTGGGTGTTTGAAGGATGAATACAGGCATACACTGAGTGTATATGTAACACGTGCCATAAAATAACATAAACAGCCCCAGAAAGGCTGGTAGACTGTGCGTAAAAGTTGTGCGCAAATTTGCCACAACGGAGCATTCATAGCTCAGTAAATATTATGTGTTGCGATTGTTAAAAACTTTTATCAATTACATTGGTCGGTTCCATTATATTCTACAATAAAGCGTTTGTCTCTCTGCATTATCTATGTTTAGGAAGCTGTTTCTGTGTTATGAGTAGCAGCTGTTTTGTTGCTGTTTGTTGCTGTCAGTCTTACCAGTGGTACGGCCGGAAGCGTACAGGGACAGCACAGCCTGGATGGCCACATACATGGCAGGGACGTTGAAGGTCTCAAACATGATCTGGGTCATCTTCTCTCTGTTGGCCTTGGGGTTCAGGGGGGCTTCAGTGAGCAGGGTGGGGTGCTCCTCGGGGGCGACTCTCAGCTCATTGTAGAAGGTGTGGTGCCAGATCTTCTCCATGTCGTCCCAGTTGGTGATGATGCCGTGCTCAATGGGGTACTTCAGAGTCAGGATACCCCTCTTGCTCTGGGCCTCGTCGCCGACGTAGGAGTCCTTCTGACCCATACCGACCATGACACCCTGAAGGGGGGAGAGAGGGCAAGATAATGGAGAGGTTACAAATAATCCAAACAGAGATATGACCTTTTTCTGGCCAGATTAAAGTCTTTACCGTGTGGCACAAAAGGCACGTTGACCATTGCGTGAATGTGTCAAATAACAGCGTGGGTCACAGAGACAGACAGAGAGCCATTGTATGACTGTCAGTTCATCTGTGACTAATTTAGTCTCAGAGTTAAAGGCCACATTGCTGCTGTTAAAATTAGACAAAATGACATAGCTCAAGATACCCAATGCCACGCTGTTATCACATACCGTTTCTAATTGCATAAAACAGCCAAATTCTAACACTAAAATATTAGAATCTCGGTTAAATATATTTTTCAGTCCAGCAGAATGACTCAAAAATAATGTACACTTGCCTGAAAAATGGCCAATTCATAATATTAAATTTGTAAAAATTAGTGTAAATTGTTTTCCTCTGAATTGGATAAAAATTGGCTGAGGTGAAATTATTACTATAATTGTGATTTTTTTTTTTCTTGTTTTTTTTTAGATCCTCCAATTAGCTTCTCTTATTATTTTCTCCGGTATTTACCTGGTGACGGGGGCGGCCAACAATGGAGGGGAACACAGCCCTGGGGGCATCGTCTCCGGCGAAGCCAGCCTTCACAAGGCCGGAGCCGTTGTCGCACACAAGGGCGGTAGTCTCATCGTCGTCACACATGTTGAGTTCTGTAAAAGAGAGGAGGGGAAGAAAAGGAGTTCAGATCCACATTGCGAGACATACTCTGTGTGGCATAGATGATTTTGGTTCGCAGCTTTTGTTTCCTGTAAGCTCTCATTAGGTGTCTTAATATTAAAGACTAAAAAGACTGAATTGTAACATTTACTGGAGCATGATCAGGCCCATGTCTTGCGCTAAATGTATCCATGGCGCACTGACACCAGGCCATTACGCATTACGTATACGCCTGTACAAACCAATAAAATCAATATGGAACTAAACTGCTGTTTTCCTTCAGATATCTATCTGGATTTGATGACTCTCGACTAATATATCCTTTATATTATTCTAATTTGGTGAGAGTACATCTATGCGAATTCTTAAGAAATATCATCTAAGGTGTTCTGAAAGACATCTGTCTGTCCCAGCCTCTCTCAGGTAAACTGTCCTGGCTTAATTGGTCTGAAAGTGCACTGCTTCTTACAGCATCAGCACCTTTTCAGGATTCAATGTTAGACCTATGAAGAAACTAAAGCTGGTCTACTTTATCTATCGATCCATGTATCGATCCATGTATCTAGCCATACTTTCCAGACCTAATAGTTCAGATAAATACTTCTCCTGTCTCCTTTCCTGTGATATCTCAGTCTATTATTTACAAATCTTTTCCTTCTCCTTCAGTAGAAGGCCTGTCCTACAGTCTAGTCTATCCTCCAGTGGAGTTGCCCATGTTGCCTCCAGTAGTATCTGGTCCTAGGCGTCCTGTCCCTGGCAGTCCTCCCTAACTTCTGCTCCAGTAGATGCTCCAGTGTTGTGCTGGTTAAGGCCTAGTCTGATGTCCCAACCTGGACTTGAGGCTTCAGGAGTGGCAGGTCCTAGCAGGGTCTTACCTTAGGAGTGTGTCTGCGGGGCTCGGAGAGAATGACCCAACCAGTGCTGCTGCTGAACCAGCTACGGTCTTCTGTCCTGCCTGTCCACCTTATATACCCAACCTCCACCATTCACAAACCTCAGCACTGGCCCCCATCCCGGCCCTCTGCCATATTAGGACGCTGACAGTCCGAGGATGAGGAGTGGCTGGGGGTGTGGGTGGGGAAGGGGGGGTCCAGCAAGGAGGCGCGCCTCGCAGAGGGAAGGAGGGAGCTCCATCCATCAAGATCCACGAGAGAATCAGCAGTGACGCTGCGCGCCCCCGACGAGGAGAGAGCGCGCGCCATATATGGAACTGTCGCTTTGACCTCCCATCGAGCCTCGCGGTCCCACCTCGAGGGCCGTATAAGGAGCGCGCGGGCCACTGGGGGTTTTCTAGGGGAGACGCCAGTTGCTACCAACCAGGGTTATAGATTTGCTGCTAGTAGGCCTCATCCAGCCTTAAAATGGGAAAATGCTGCTCTCATCTGAACAGATTTAGACCACGGTGAGAGCCAGGGCCCAAACTACTGACTGACAGGTGAACCAGGAACAGTGCTGCAGCCTGAAAGTGCCAATTAAGAGTTCAATACACATTATGGTGATCAATACAAGATAACACAAAATAATTTGATAAAAGCTGAGGAGGAACTGTCTGTGTGTAAACAGTTCAATATGTCTGCTTCATCAGTCCAGTCTTTTCAGTAACAATAAATAATCATTAGTAATCAATATTTGTAATTGATTGCATTAAATGAAGAAGCCTGATTGACCCTAGCTTGCATTAAAAAGCCCAGTGTGGAAGCTGGAGGCCTTTTACATCAGTGTAAGTAAATTATTTCTTCCAATTATCAGCTTTATATGACTGTACAACAATGTTCTAATAATCCTGCTGCTGGTCACTGAACGTTACCCAACAGGATTTTGTTGTATGCAAATAAAGTGTCTTATTTCTTATTTACTAAGATTATTGATGATTGTGCACAGGATATCTTGTTTTGATGCAAATTGGAATACCTTCTCTTAATTATGCAACACTTGCACACTCAATACAATACTTTCTCTTCATTCAAATTTGTTTAATTCATAACCTACTATCCTGCAGACCACATGGCCTAATATTCACACATATCTGTCTCAGTCAAACTGAATAAATAAGGAGAGAACCACTGAAACAGCCAACAGCTGAAACCTTATCTGCAGGGGCTACTCTGCTCTGTCACTGGAGCAGTTGGATTAATTATAACTCTACTGGAGGAGGGGAGCTAGTGTATGTGTGTATGTGTGCATGTGTGCATGTAGGAGTAAGAAATAGAGAAAGAAGCTCAGCGTGTGTACATGCATGTTCATGGATGTTTGTGTGTGTTGTAGTATGGGACCAGAAGGAGTGGAAGAGGAGGTGCCAAGGAGCTTATAATAAACTCAATGGAAGTGAGGAATGACAGAGTGAGAAGTGTAGAGAAAAAAACAAAGATACATCTAAAGATGTAATAACAGGCTTTATATTAAAAGAGCAGAGGTTCAGGAGAGAGAAAAAGGATTTGGAAATCTTAGGACACCAGGGAAACTAGGGATTCCTTGCTTAAAGCAACCAATGTTGCAAGGAAACATAATAGAAAATGAGACGTGGATTAGCATCTGGAACTTCACGAAGCGTGTAGGAGAAGTAGGATTTTATTCTGTAACATTTTTGTCACAAAAAGTATCAAAAAGCAAAAAGTAATTAAAGAAGTTATCAAATGGTCGTCAATACAAACACATGCCTTATATTGTGCTCTCATATCATAAAGCTGGATTCATATGGGAGCAGAGAAATGGTAACATATAACCTTTCATGACCTGTTCATCATTATAGCAGCAACAGAAATCTTCAGTGTGGATTTCTAGGGGTTAGATATGACATATTCACTGCCTGTACAAGTACAGGTTTATGGAAAGGGTCAGAAAGAAGAGAAAAGTGAATGTGAAGCAGAGAAGACTTCTATATAGTCAGGTATGTTAGCTGAGGTGCAGTAATTGGCCCTGAAAGTTTTCATAGAAGAGTTTCAGCACTTGCAATTCATATTACACTGAGGCAATATAAGCTGTTTGGGGGGGGGGTCCTCAGTGGTTCAAAAATATGTCATGAAAAACAGGGTCTGAAGAGGGAGGGAGGAAAATCTTCGATGACTAGAGGGAGAAGGGGTGAAAATGGGGGAGGGCTGCATTGGTGTAGACCGAAAGCATGGAGAGTGTGTGCATGATGGTGTGTGTGTGTGTTGTGTGTTTTGTGGGAGGGGGTCAGGGAGTGGAGGGGCTGCAGAGCAAGGTAGAGCTACTTTTATGCACTTGTTGTGAGCCATTTTGGAATCAGAGGGTCTGCGAAACGCCTAAAATGTAAAGGGCCTGGCAGTTGTCGGGGAGCGAGAGATAGAGGGGAGGGGGCAGGGGAGGGCAGGTCAGAGGGGCCGAGGGGGAGGAGAGCCCAGGGAGCCTCCTGGAGAGTCTACTTGGAAGGGGAGGAGAAAGAGGGAGGTGAAAGGGCGTGTGCAGCAGCAGGTGGCAGAAAACATGAGTTTAGTTTGTCAGAAGATATGTCACCCAGCCAGCTGAAGGAGAGACAGAGACACGGAGAGTATTTTTTTTAGTGTTTTCTAGAAGTGCACATTTTTTTAACTTTAAAATTTAAAAAAATAATTTAACTAACAGTTCCAGTCACATGTCAGTATTTTATCCAGTAAAACAAAAAGGAGAGAAGTGAACAGGTAGATAGTTTTTTGAGTAACAGCATGCTCAGTCGTCATGGTACAAATGGCTGCCTACCTTGCTACCTTACATTTTTTTTATTTCAGTCAACTCTCACTCTCATGAGAGCGCAGAGGGTGAGAGTGTCAGAGACAGTAAGAATAGCACATGCCTCTGCATTCAATCGCTGGAACCAATACACTCGCTGTACATGAGTGTCCTACCTTTTTAAGTGTGGCTCAACAACTGAGGCTCCTGTGCTGCATTTTTTGTTTTAAGTTAGACCTTTTAAACAGACTTGTTGGAGATTTTAATTAGTTCCTCAGGTGTTACAGTGAAGAAAGTCTGAGGATACTGATACTACTGATACTAAGGATATATATGTATATATATAAATGGACAGGTAAAAGTGCTTAGGTTAATATTTTTTAAAATTTTTATTCAAACAACAATCAGGTGTCTAAATGTAGATTGAAATGTTGTTTTGTTTTAGGACAGACTTTTAAAATATGAACGTATCCTAGTAAGTACTGCAAATTGTGTGATTTGTTCCAATGAAGTTTCAGGACACATTTACTGTTTAGCCTCATTTTGTTAGTGATGTGCTGCACAGATCAGTTCCCTTTCCGACTGATTTCTTACTTTCTAACGCTGCCTTCTAAAGAGGATAAACAAGACACAGTGGAAGGAGAGGCGTTAGACAGCGTGCCTCTTGGCCGCTACCGTCCAGAGACAATCCAAACATCATCTAAAGAAAAAAATCAGTTTGTGGTAGCAGAAGGTGTGTGGTTTCATGGCTGACAGGAATAACAAGAAATGGGCTGTGGTTCACTACAGAGAGGCAGTACTGGGAGCATGAGCCCTGATCAGTGAGACTGTTGAGCAACCGTCTCTCTTTTTCATGGAAAACATAAGATGCTATCGTGCCTGTGAAGCCCACTTTGTTTTAGAGTGGTGGGATGTCTCATTTTAATGGTCAGTTTTCCCGAAAATAATGTTAAATCTGCTTTATAAGATCAATGACTCACTCCCTGAGTAAAACCTCTGCGTGGTACCGAGCCAGCCATAGAGGTGTGGCATGGTTGAGCTTAACCAAATGCAGCATGAACTTAATTCTTTCTATTTTTCTGTCCTATCTTCTGAACAAATAAGGCTTTGTGGGATGTTTTTAATGTGATAAGAAAACAGATTATTCATATGATTTTGTTGTGTAAGGCCAAAAAGGGTAAGAACCTTAGTTTCACTAGTTCCTCAAATAGCCCGGCGGAAGATACAGAGAAAAGCGAGGGGAGCCGCAGCACATGGAGTTGGAATTGGAAACCCATGCCGGGCTGTGCGGCACCTGGTCAGCTGCATGAGCCAGCTGAGCCGTCCTCTGCAGAACAGGAGCACAACTGCTGCCTTTACTGGAGGGGCTCACCCACTGCTTGGTTATAGCACAAACATTAAGAGTCTTAAAACTTCTCTCTACCATATACTGTTACCAAAGGCCAAGAATGAGCATCCATGAATGTGTCTACAATATTTCTGCTTGATGTCAGTGGTATTTTACAGCGTGGCTTTGCCTCTTGTGCCTGTACTGTTTAGTAATCAAACATACAGCTGAACATGATTTTAAACATCTAAACTGGTTGATGTGTACTTGTTTAAGTTGATAAACTCTTTAACTACCCCACAAGTGCAACACACTCTTACAAAAGGAGGATAAATCAATTGATTGCATTCATTTGCTGTTTTGTTGGGCCCTGTCTATGTGCCAACAGATGGGACAATGTGTCTATTTACATGAGGAGCTCACCGCACTGTCAACACAACCTACCGACAGCTGAATACACATTACTCATATCATTACCATGAAGTTTTATTTAGATATGATGGATGAACATTGATCCCACCGACCTGAACACGCCTGAGCCTGGCTGTAGCTCACAGTGTGAAGCAACAGTGCCACCTACTGATAGACTGACACACTGCATGGAAACACAAAGTTACTTATGAGGCAGTTTGTTCAGTAAAAAAAAAAAACCCCAGTGTGTTACAGTGAATATTTTATGAAAATGTTAAGTTCAATGAGCAAATGTGAAGCCATGAACTATAATCTACAGTGATAGAGCCAGAGATGGTGCGTGAGCGTGTCTCCTCTTCCCATCATCTTTCGTGTCTCTGTAGGGGAATGGTGATTTTAAAAGGTGGACGTATAACCAGTTGTTTTAAGTTACAATAAAATTGACACCACCGCTTGAAACAATGTAATAAAAATGTCATCTGCACTCATAAAAAGCAAACAAACCAGGAGAAAATCAACATTTTAAAAGACATTTAAATACATTCTGATACTGGTGTATCATGTGCCTAAACAGACCAAGCAAAAGGGGAAAAAACAGCTTAACAACAAAACCCACAAATAAAAACAATCAGTATCTCACTTTATTTACCTTTACATAGATGTATAATAATTTAGTAACCACAAAAATAATTAAAAATCTAGAATACATCATTTTGGTCCTATTATTTATAACTCATAACATACAAGTTAAAAAATAAACCCCCAGCAGTCTTCTGTGATTGTTGGATCCATCATTAACTGACAAACTCTCAAACTACTTCAGTGGTTATTTTAGTGAGTGAGTGGTGAAGTGATTTTGCAAACATGAAAGCTTTCGGTTTCATTTTAAATGGGCAAGGTTTGGTAATATTACCAACTGACTTCCACAGGACCCACAAAAAACGTCTGAACATGTCACGTTCAGGGACGATGTTCAAGGTATCATTTACTTTAAAAAGAAGACTAACAAGTGGTGCGGAAATTAAAAACCTGTAGGCAGACATATCTATAATTAAAGAAAAAAAAACTATCATGAAAACGCTCAATAAATCATCTTGTAATGATTATCTCAAATTCTGCTTTCATACAGTCTGTAACCAGGGATTAACCAGAGACACATAGCGTTAGTTAGCTATTTAAATGACCATTTACCAATGACTAATATTGTATAATTTATGCTGACACAGTCCTTCGTTTAAATATTATCAAGACTGATTAATTTCTATTATGCTATATATTTTTATATATAAAATATTATATTATTAAGAAGCTATATCCACAATATGCATTAATGTAAATTTTTTGCAATTATTAGATCTAATTAATGTGACAGTCTTGAGATGAAACAGAGGTTAAACAGTGTTGTGGAGACTTAAATTATGTGATAATTTGTAAATATTTGTATATATATATATATATTTGTTACTCTTGCTTAGAACTCAAGTGTCTGACCCATGACAAACATTATACAGCCACAATTTGATTTGTTGTTTATTAAGCCTGTTTAATCATAAATTAAATGATTCCTTGTTGACTAATGATCTGTTAACTGCACTTTAAGTAGCACCCAGTCAAAATGGTTCCCAGCTACGTTGCACAGATCGGAGCCCAATTAATTATCCATAACTCATTTTCCAATGACAAACTGGGGGATTTCCACAGATGTTGATGTTGTTTAGTTGTGTGTCACAAGAAATACTAGTAACAAGGAACAGTCCCTTTAGGTCTGTGGGGGATTCAAGCGGAGTACATTTGCATGTCTGGCTTTACACTCAGGTCTAGACTCCCTGTGAGCCGTGAAGTGGGCATTAACCATCCAAATATTTACTGAGGCGAATCATTACCCCTCAGTCAGGCTCTCCAGGCCAGATATTATATTTGGCCGCCTCAACAGCGCTGTGGCTTAGATGTACGTGGTCTTAGAGCTGTTTATAAAGAGTTTAAGGTTGGCCAAGTGCACATCCTGTAAACACCTCCCAGTGCACACAGTGTGGAGGGGACAGCCATGACACAGACAAACAGTATACGGTCACAGATGTTCACTCAGGTGTTCATAATGTTGGTTTCAGTTTTTTTCATTTATAGATTAAAACAAGAAAGATAAAAGATTACATTCTGATTGGCACTGTGCAACAAGGTAAAAAAAATATGAAAGAATTAGGGATTTTAGACAATGAGATGATTGTTAAGAGAGGGGTGATGGTCGTGACCCACAGACCACCCTTCCTACCCGAGAGCAGCAGAACATCAGCCAGAAAAGAGGCTGTTTAGCAGGCTTCAATTGACTTTCACAAATAAAACTTTTATTTTGTTTGACATATAATGATTGTAAAGTTTAGCAGTTTCAGGGCTGTTAATTAAATCCAAAGCATGAAAAACTAAAATAGTGAACTGAAATTATGTTTTTAGATGTGTAGCACCTCAGCTATGACTTGGAGGACAATCACTAATATGTTTCATGACAAATGTGCTTACATAAATCTATGTACTTCTTTACATATGTCAGGATAGTGTTCAGTCCCGTTTTACAACACAGTGCAGACAACACAAATAGCTGCTTCGTTCGGCTTGTTTTAAAATTCCAGTAAAAGATTCTGCATGTCAATCTTTAAGTTTAAAAACTCAATAATAAATAGACACAAATTAATAAACAAATACATATTTAGTATTTTTGTATACATCATACTGGACTGTTTTTGGTTGGGTTGTGAAAATCATATAGTAATAACAGACTACAGTGTCCCGTAGCAGAGAAAAGTTTGTCATTTGCACCAAATTCAGAGACTGATAAATATAATGTTGTCTATGAGCTTCCTGTGTGAGGAGTGTCTGTCTTCATCAGGTCTCCTATCTGGAGCAAAGCCACTGACCTCACCTCCTGATTTCTCCCTCTTCCCCATCCACTCGCCTGTACTCCCTGTCCTCTCAGCGAAGTGCTTGTTTCTGTTCTTGCAGAAACGACTGTTTCTCCATCAGTTTTCTGAACAGTCCATGCCTGTTGCCTAGCAGCTCTCTGTGCTGGCCACACTCGGCTACGCACCGCTGGTCCAGTACAGCGACAGCATTCGCATTCTGAATGGTGGACAGACGGTGAGCGATGATCACGACTGTCCTTCCTGGTAATTGGGTGAGAAGGGCAGGAAACAGTAAAACAGGAGAAACAAAGATTTAAAAAAAAACCAACAAAAAAAACAAGTGGAAGCAATTTGAAAGAGAAAGATGGAAGAATTTACCTTCCATCAAACGCTCCAAGGCTTCCTGGACCAGGAACTCATTCTCAGCATCCAATGCACTGAAGACAGATGGTTGTTCAGGATTTTGTTCAACAAAATAATCTTAAAAGAGTGTCTAACCAGCACAATAAAGAGTAATAGTAGTTCTGTGCAGAGAAGTCAATAATAGCAAAAAGGATAAAGATAGTGCAAGTATTGTAAGTAAAGTTTTGTTGGCTGATTTCTACACAGTCTTTTAATAATGTCGTAAGTGTTTCTCACCTGGTAGCCTCGTCTAAAAGCAGGATCTTAGGATTCTGTGGAAAGAGAACACAAACAGTGTTATCCAGACTAATTCAGGTTTTAGAGACAAAAGGAAAGCTGAGACTACAGGGTAGATCTTAGTAATGCACACTCCTTTAAAACAACAATGACAGCACAAAAAGACTGTATACTGTACTGTATGTGGTATAGTCCTTTGCACTTACTATTAAACCACAAAATCATAGAAGTAAAAAAAAAAAAATCAGTTTTAAATCAACATGTTAGAATGTAAATAAAACTTGGAGATGGATAACAAATGTAGAAGACAGGTATGACTACAGCTGTGCTTTCTTCTAATGTGGATACAGTAAAATGACTACATTGTTGTACTCACCTTGAGCAGTGCTCTGGCTATGGCTATCCTCTGCTTCTGACCACCTGAGAAACAAACACACAACTTAACCATGTGCACACATAAAGGCTACGTCTGAACAGGCCCTACATGTATGTGTCTACTGTAATTGGCAGCCATGATAGTTAATACAACAGTGTTCAAGGCTTTTTACCATAATTGTACTATTGTATGTGAAAAATGTATACACAATACATGCAAATATTTGTAAAGGATTACGTCTGAGAAAACCTGAGGTGAGAGTTAGAGAAAGACTTGGACAGTAAGGGGTTTTGTCTTTCTGAAATGTTAAACGAAACAGGTTGTTTTTTAATGCAAAACTAACTTTTCACTTATAAAATTAAAATACAGCAAATTACATAATAAAAAATGAATGCATTATTGAGCTGAAATAATTCTCTTCATTACTGATTAGAATTTTGATAAGCTAACTTAAAAATGAATAAATAAGCACTCTTCCCAACACTGAATATATATTTAAAACCATGTGGGAGTGATTACTAGATCAAAATCTACATACTATGTCAAAGGCTACAAAAAAAAAATATATCTTCAATATCATCAACCCTGCTACAACTCATGGATAGCTGCCTGTTGGACATACAAGCTTTCTTGCATTAACAGTGAAGTAGATGTTGTTATCACACTCCTGTGTCTCACCTGACAACAGCACTCCTTTCTCCCCCACTACAGTGTCAAAGCCCTTAGGAAAAGCCTGGATGAAATTATAGGCGTTGGACACTTTGGCTGCCCTGTAGATGTCGTCTGTGGTCACAGCGTCAGGGTCCACTGCACCGTACGCTATATTATCTCTTATAGAGCAAGAAAACAGCACGGGCTCCTGGGAGAGAGGTGCGAGGAGGAGAGGGAGGAGGAGAATGTGAGAAAGACAAAACAGTCTTCACTTCGAGGCTCCTAATATTTGTGTTGCGTGTCTGCTCAGTTTATGTGCTGTGAGATGTGTTGTATAGGAACATAAACAAGTAATTTATCACCTGGCTGACAGTTCCAATGTGGCTCCTGAGCCAATAGGGATTCAGATCTCTGATGTCATGACCATCTATATAGATAATACCTAGAGAAAAGAGATCACTCTCAGTGAGAAAACAACCATCTGACAGAGTCTTGTACTTTTAAGTTGGTCATCATCATTATTAAGCAGTGGTTGATGTATCTGGTTAAATGAGACAACAGAATGAGCTCAGTCTCACCATTATCCGGGTCATACAGCCTGAGCAGCAGTGAGACCAGGGTTGACTTTCCAGACCCACTGGATCCCACCACAGCCATGATGCTACCAGCTGGGACCAGCAGATTGAGGTTCTGGAAGATAGGAGCCTCCTTACGGGCCGGGTAGGCAAAGGAGACATCGCAGAACTCCAGCTGACCCTTCAGCTGGTCTGGAGGAAGCGCCAAGCCTTCTGTGGAGGAGCAGAGGAAGAGGGACGGATTATTATTTACTTTAACTTGCTTGGTTGGTTTAATACAGAAAGAAGACGAGAAGGCAGAGGCTGTAAAATTACCCATCATACACTTATATATATCTATAGGCAGGAAAAAAATTACTTATCTAAAAATTTGCAGCAGTTATATTGAGAGTATGGTTGTTTTCTGGTCACATACATAATTAAGTAGTTTATGATGGGTTTCCAGGACAGAAACGGGTACTTGTCGATGTGAGGTAATACTCTATGTGTCTGCGTGCGTGCGTGTGTGCGTGCGTGCGTGTGTGTGTGTGTGCTGACCATTTAGTGGAAACTCAGGCTTTCTGTCCAGCAGCTGCCACAGTCTGGTTCCTGCACCAAAACCCTTCATCAGCTCAGAGTAGAATGAACTCAGACCTACCCATCAAGCAGAAAAACACCAAGTTAAAAGCCATCTCACATGCACGCACACACGCACACACAAACAATACAGAGAGAATTTATATAATAATAGGAAAGTGCCTGTTTGAGGCATTACCTGCAATACCGATGCCCACCCAGAAGGTGTACATGAGGAAGGACGAGAGCTCTCCCACAGTCATGTGCTGGCTGGCCATCAGAAGGCCTCCTTTGTAGAGCACGGACAGGATCATGATGTTACCGCTAAGACCAGTCTGAAATACAGGCACACACGAGTTATCTGATTACTACAACATCTGGGATCAGTGCTACTGCCTAACACAGAACTGATTATACTAATTACAGAACCTGCTGGAAAAAGGTAACTGGCGAGTCTCGTCACTGATCTGCCTCTTGATATCTGTTCATAACACAAACTACAGTTCATTGAGCCACACATTTTAATATAATGTACCTGATAAAATGAATTTGAACAGCCTGTGGGAAGGAATTACAGAATTACAGACACATTGATACCCAGCAGGACAATATTTTCAATAATGATCAGCCGAGAAATTCATCAGCACACTGAGTTTTCAGGTTATTAGAGACACGCAGGTAAGTTTAGTCCAATACAACAGCCCTACAATAAATTATATCTTATCGTACAGTACTATATGCATTTTTGACACAGTTTTAGATTACACTTTATCGTAATTTTGAAGGCTGTCCTTGTGGTTCTGATTAATTGAACAGTATCATATTGAAAGGTGTTTCTAATATTTTGTGTACCATCACTGACACAAATAGGTGTGGACAAATAAAGCTACATCCTACCTTAGCAACAACTTAACATATAGAAATTGCATACAGATGTCCAAGTGTTAAATACAGGAAGAGAAAAGCATGTTCAACAATGGTAAGCCTTGGCAAGTTTTTGTCATAGAGTGGCTTCAACACTGTCTTAAACGGGTTAGTGTGGATTTACTGAAGTGGGGCTGTATGAGCTACTACTACTACTATCTATAATCAGTGTATTACTACCTACAGCAGACGGCGGTTGGCACGCCCCGAGTTTTCAACAAAACGTATTTTAGGACCAGCAACTCCCTTATTCTGGAAGGTAAATTTACTGTTTTTGTCAAAAGACTCTAGAGGCTTTCAGAGATGTAAGGCTTCAGTTTCATGTCGTAAAGGGCTGTCTGTCAGCAAGGTAAAGCAGTGAAAATATTCTAAATATAGTGTACACTTAAACTGATATTTATTTTTTTAAGGTGGTCCCTTTTTATAGGTACTCCTGTCTGCCTCTCTCTACTGCCATGCCAACCGGCGTCTACTGTAGGTAACACACTGACTATTGATAGTAATAGTACCTCATACAACCCTCCTTTAATATATCCTAACTAACCTTTTAAAAGCACACAGATGGACGTATGTATGGTCTGACTTTGCATGGAGGATTGGATAAACCTTTTTTATGGTGAAACATCCTGAAGTCAGATACTGTGGTATTGTGACAAACCTGAAAAAGCAGAAGCCTCTGTGCAACACGTAATTTCCTAACTGCGGATTTGGTCGCTGACATTCTATCACACAGGATAGAGGTGACCATGACATCTCTCCGGGCACGTCCTTGATGTCAGATCACTCAACCTCTCAACTTTAAAAGACCTACAATGCTAAATATTGTTAATTTGTCATTTATGACAGGCACTACCCCAGACCAGAGCTCGAAATTAACTTTTTTCCTCAACTGCCCCAAATTCTCCTTTCAGCTTTTCCAGGCCTAACAACCATTTTTCCAAACGAAAGTTTTTTTTTTTTTTCATTCTACATAATGTTTGATGGATGGACCGATGGGAACACACAGACTTTGAACATTATTATTACTTGGCCAAATAATCACAAACTCACTATAATGTACAATTAATGTACATATTTAAATGTACAACTAAAGACTGTTTTTTTTTATATACAAAAGGGAGGGAGAAGGTCAAACTATTTAAATATTTACCAGCTCAAACAAATTATTTACATAAAAGATATAGGAACACCCTAATCCAGAGATATGGAGAGTAAGAGTGAGAGCAGGTCTAACAAGCACCACACACCACACCTACAGTACTGCCTGTGCACGGTGCAAGAGGAGACCCCAACGCTTTTGGCAGAAGAGCCATGGACTGCGATTACTCTGCTCGACATAGACACCAGTTTAAAAAGTGAACAGTGACTCTTGACAACTGCATGATTTTTTAAACTTTGACAGCCAAGAATCATGGTGTTATGTTTGATCCTACCGTCTCCTTCAATCAACACATTAAAGATATAACCAAAACAGCCTTTTCTGCCTGTGCACCACAGTTAAATTAGGTCTTTCCTGACCATGGCTGATGCAGAGATCCTAATGCCAGCTTTGCTTTCATCCAGACTTGATTATTGTAACGTTTTGTAGTCTGGTCTGCCGTAAGCTTGTACTAAAAGTCTTCAAATGTTTCAGAATGCTGCAGCTAGACTCTTTACTAAAACTAGAAAATGTAACCATCTTACACCAATGTTTGCTTCCCTTGATTGGCTGCCTATCTGTTAGATGTTGATCTACAGATATCTTTAAAAATGTGCTTTTAATGAATTTTGACTCTTGAAAATGTACACACACAATCTATTGGATGCGTGTCTGTTCTGGGAGAGGGATCCCTCTTATCTTGCTCTTCGTGAGGTTTCTTCCATTCCTTTCCCAGTTAAAGGGGTTTTTGGGGAGTTTTTCCTTATCCGAATCAAGGGTCTAAGGATAGTGGATGTTGTATGCTGTACAGATTGTACAGTCCATGTTTATGATATTGGGCTATATGAATAACACTGAATTGACTTGAGACACACACTTACCACTCCAAAGAAGCCAGCTCCTATTACAGCCTCCTTCTTGGCCAGAGTGAAGACCTGGTCTATCTTCTGTGTGTATGTGTTGACCTCTGACAGCTCTTTACCAAAAGCCCTCACTGTCCGAATGTTGCTGATACGCTCCTCTGCCAACTACATTAAAACAAGTTTATTAGGCCTTTATCTAAATCACAAATCAGGTTATCAACATAGTCCATTTACTCTACCTGCAAACTTAATTAAGCCACCACAGGCAGTAGAGCATTTATATCAGAAATACACAAAACTAAAAGGGATAGACAAAGAGTATTGCTTTACCAACCACAAATATGAACTGTGGTTTTCAGTATAAAGCTACAGCTAAAATCACAGTCTTAACGTAAAGGCAAAAATAATAGGTTTTATTGGCACAACAAGTCCTCCTAATAATCCTTGCTGTTACACATGTGGCAACTAGAAAGTAACTGAACACCAAAACTCTCGTTATTAAACCTAGTAAATACTTCTAAGCCGTTCTGCCCCTGTGTTTTTTGTGCGCTGTACCTGTGTAGCTTGTGCCAGTGCATCCTGTGTGCGTTTGGAGATGGAGCGAAGGAATCTGCCATAGATGACAGCAAGACCAGCCATAGGTGGAACAATCAGCAACACAAAGCTTGCAAGACTCGGGGAGATGTAGAACTACAAAACAAGACACAAAAAAAGCAACAGTTAATGGAAATAAAAAGGGAGATAAGAAAAGGAGAGGGAGGAGGAAGAGAACAAAGTTCACCCCAAGTAGCCTCATTTTTATTTATAGCCTTGAAAGTTTGTTATGCCAGGAAATCATTTTACTTCCCTGTGAGGTAAACAAATGGTTTGTCATGAGTTTGTGTTGTGTTTCCTGATTTTCGGTTTTGGAAAATACAGCCGTCAAAAAATGGAACCAAAAAAAGTTTTGTAAAGGAAGTAAAAGCATCAGTTAACAGACCTGATGCTCAACAAATCTTGAATCCATGAATGATAAAACAAAAACCGCTGAGACTGGTGAATATACTCAAGTGAGTGTTGTTTAGATGAATAGCTCAGCAAGTAAGTATCAGTTCAACCACCTGTTGGTCGAAAGGTCAAAGCCGTATATAATTAAGTGACCCTCTACACACACACACACACACACACACACACACACACACACACACACACACTCACACAAACACGGGTGTGTCAGTCAGAATCTTCCCATTTCCTTGTTATTGTAAACCTGTTTTGCAACAGTCTTATAGTCTATAAACTCTCAGCTCACATACCGACAGCATTGAATGGACACGCAAAAGAAATGTACAACTACTTCCTTGTACTGAACAACACAACGATATACATGTAAACACCTTACTCTGTTGTTAAACGACTGTAAGGGTTTTTAAAGCCAGACTAAAGTTCAAACAATGGACACGGAAATAAAGATAAGGAGAGTATTTACAAGATAAAGGATGCCCACTGATTCCTCATTCAAAGCTATCCTGATCGACCACATAGCTGTGATCGCTCTGAGGGACATACTCACCATCATACTGACGCCAGCAGCGGCCTGGGCGACAGCTCTCAGCCCGTCTGACAGGTTGTCAGTGATCGAGCGGCCCACCACGGCCGTGTCAGCAGAGAGGCGGTTGATAAGCTCGCCAGTCCTACTCCTATCAAAAAACCCCACTTCCTGTCTGAGGATGGAGGAGAAGAGGGAGGCACGGAGATTACGAACAATCTTTTGGCCTGAAGAGAGAAGAGAAAAAAATTTATACAGATTTTTGAAAACATTACTTTGGGCTTGGTTAACCTGTGATGGGCATTTCATTATTTGTGGCAAATAGTAAAGGAAAGGATTAATCAGCTGATTTAAAAAAGCTCCAAAGTTCAACAATACACCTGCCTGCATATTTAAAGCTCACTAATTAACAATTAACTAATGTTTAATCTGTACACAAACAGAAATGTTGTCTCTGTGCCCGGCCGCTAGTCGCCAAGATATCAATGCAGTGTTTCTGCTTGTGCACGGATTAAACCAACATATCATATCGTATATCATATCGTATGATATCATCATATCATGTGTCAATTACTGAGTGTCAAAGGTGCTGGCAGGTGCAGTTTTTAAGAAAGCAAATATATTTCCCAGACATTCCTTCGATATATAAGATACTGAAAGTTAGTATTTCCTATCCTTTCCTGAATAAGGAAAACAAAGATGAAGATCTGGAGAAGAGATACAAACAGATCCCTCACATTCTGCTCATTGATGCAGACATCAGTGTAGTATTGGTTGCATGTTCTGTGTAGTGATCATTTGTCTGTGCATGTGTTTCCTCATATACCCCTGTAGAGTATTGGTCTCCCTCCTTGTCTCACCTGAGGTCTGCATAAGGTAGACCCTGGCAGCATTGGCCGCCCCACCACACAGGAACACTCCCGTCAGCATGATGCATAGCGATGTCAGGGAGGCGGTCATTGTCTCTGTGTCTGTTCCAGTGGTGTAAATGGTGTCAATCACTTTACCCAGGAGAAATGGAGCTGACATAGTTACTGCGCTGGAGACAGTGAGGAAGCCTAAAGCAGCTGGGGTGGATCAAAGAAAAGAGAGAAAAAGAGAAAAGGAGAAAGTTTCAAATCAAAGAAAAGATACACTTTAAACAAATTATTGTAGAAAACAAAACCAGGAGATACAATTTCTAAAAGTCCTAAGTTAAAAATATGGAACGAGTTCTCTAACAAAACCTCATGAAAGGTACTTGAGGATGTGAAAAGTGCTTTAATTGTGCTCCAAATGAACATCATACGTAGCCAAGTAGGAGAACAACCTTTGCAGGGTAATATTCAATATGACTGATTGTATACATTTCTAATCTGGGAGAACCTCGTCACCAAACAAGGTCAGAGCAGGTTATAATTAAATTCAAAGCCACTGTAGAAACATATGGCACAGTGCAGTGAGGTGGCCTGTCAGGACACACGAGGAAAAACAGAGGAAATATGGCATCCAAGTGTTAAATGCACAAAGTGTACATTTCACTTATGTTTATGCGTCTATATCATCTGTTGTGTGGATTGGTAAAAACAGGAAACAACTGTTGTAATGTCCCACTGGTACTAGCAGAAATAAGACGTTTTTTTCCCTGTATGGCTTAAATCAGAATCATCCTCCCGTGGTAATGAGAAAACAACGCTGCAGAAAGGTAGATGTACGCATGTCTTCCTGGATAACGCAAGAAAACACATCAAATAAAAGCAATAAACTGATAACTACTAACTAAACTAATAAACTAAACTGACAGTATCTGCACACTGGGTTAACTATACAGGGTATATAAACTGCATTTTTCAGTCCAATAAAGTTTTGAGGTCTTTGACTCAGTGTGTGAATACTTTCCACTTGTTTCTACAGTGAAAAAAAGAAACATCATGATGAATGACAACTGCACCATTACCAGTAAAATCAACGACTTTTAACAATTTTACACCTTTTTTTTAATCCTTTATCAGGGAAGCACCTAAAGGCTAACTGGTGAGCCAATGACAACTGGAGATGGTGGTGAGGATGGACAGACCTTCTCTAGTCGTGGTGATGATGGGGACAGATACATGTCAACTCCTTGCCATGTATCTGTCCTCACACACACACACACACACACACACACACACACACACACACACACACAGTAGTTTACCTGCCAGACTCCATCTCTCCGGGTGAGCCAGCTTCAAAATCCTTTTAACATCCTCCAGGGGGACCGTGGTCGGTTTCTGGCCTCTGTCCGGGTCCGTCTGGGGGTCCACTGACCCGGCTGGTGAAGGTGTAGAGGCGGCTGAAGAGCTCGCAAAGGCAACAGGTGTGTGTGTGAGCTTCCGTGAGTGTGGACCGAGGGTAGAGAGACCTCTGAGCGGACTGAAGGACAGGACAGACACGAAGGGCCTGGGTGAGGAGAGAGGGAAGGCAGGTGTAGGGTGGACCGGTAGATTGACCCCGGTGGACTGCCTCTTCCTCCGGGGGGCAGCGGAGGGGGTCAGGCGGTGCTCCAGCCACAACATCCTCGGCTGTGTTAGCTTGAGTTTGGACAAATGCACTCCGTGTGTGCACCTCGACATGCGAGTTAAAAGCCGCATCGTCCCTGTTGTTAGTGACTAGATACTAGTTAAATGACCAATAGGTGTGTTTCCCCCTCAGTCAGACTCTCTGATAGATGGTGTCGAGGTGTTTCTTGTGGAGTAATAAGTCCTCTCGGAGACGCATGGTAGTGCCGCAGCCGAGCTGTTGTGGAGCTTCGTCCCGCTACATTGTCCAGTTTCGACCGTTATTGTCCGTTATTGTCCGTTATTGTCCGTTATTATCTGCGCCTGACAGCCGCCTTCACCCAGTTTATCTCTTATCAATGAGCAGCTACCGACACCGCGCCTGTCACTGTCATCTGTCGCTGGATGTGTCTGTCGGTCGGTCGGTCGGCGGGTGAAGTGGAAACACGAGCCGACAAACACCGACTGTTACTAAATCCACTCTGAGAAATGAAACTGATTTCTTCGGAAAGAGTCTAAAATGGTAGAAACAGGAAAGGTGACCCTGGTTTGGTTCACATGTAACGTTACACACACACACACACACACGATGATGATGATGATGATTCCTCCTCCTCATCGACGAGGACGTTCAATGGCTGACGGTGTAAGCGAACTTTCCCAGGCGTAACCAAACGAACCCAGATCGATAGCCAAGTGTTTAGTGTTTAGTTTTGAAAGGTCCCAAAACAAAATGAATGGTACAATTAATAATTAATTTAAAATGTATTTACTTTGTTCATACACACATACAGAATCATGTCGCCTAAAAATAAGGCGACATGGGATATTAGCTAAATTATTTTATCGACAAACAGAGTTTTCTCGACGAAATGTGTTTTTGTTTATTCGAAATTTATATTAATTCATAATAATAAGCTAAACTTTAATTAATTATAATTTCTACAAGGGTCTTTTGTGGCTGAAGCAAAAGCGAAACGGGTCTGTGTATCCTCGGATCGGAACAGCCGAGACTTTGAATCGACCCTCGATTGCTTCTGCCTGGCCGGCCGGGTGAAAGTTTAAAGTTCATCCACATCTGAAAACAGGACACACGTGCAAGTTGAAAAGTCGTAAGTTAAATAAGTTAAATAAGTTAAATAAGTTAAGTTTATACTACAACATGTGAGAGTTTCTTAAACACTGAAGCTCATTCATGGGTCTCTGCCTGTGAACGAGAAGCAGCCTCACTGTTGGCTTCACTTGGCTTTAGCTGAAGTATGCTATGTAGCTAGCTGTCGTTAGCTGTAGAGCATGTGAGTTTGTGAGAGCCCTGTAGACTGAGGGCATCAGATTGACTGGAAGACACCTGAACATGAAAAGTGATTTGCCCATCACACCTGCACCGGACTGTAAAGTGTTTTTAACTTAAATCTCCTTTTGAAAATGTGTGTTTGCAACTTCTGGTCGTTTGTGTGGGTTGAGCTGTAACTTTAGGTTACTAGAGTTAGAATATACTCTATACTTAAAATAAACGACTATTACTGTATGTGTGTGTCTTTTCTTGTCTGTTGATTATTTACTTTCCTAGGGGGTGTTTGCTTGCGCATGTATTTTAATGTGTATGTGATATCTGATTAATGTGATCGTATTTAGTTTTCTCCCCTTTCCCCCTATGTGATGTTCCCTCCCTCTGGCCCTGACTCCTCCTCTCCATCCCCTCTCTTCAGGCCTGTGCAGCAGTAGCTTCAGCTGCAGCGATGGCTGCCTTTTACTCAGGTATCCATCTGAAACTGAAGAGTCCTCAGACTCCATGGGAGGACAAGTTAAAGCTGGCACGTTTTGCCTGGATCTCCACTCAGTGCCTGCTGCCTAACAAGGAACAGGTAACACCTGAACCTGTGTGACAAGATGTCACACAGGTTCTTCACAGAATGATAGTGGTACTTTTTGACCCTGAGCAGTTAAAGATTGTTCTGTGTGTGAAGTGACTATTGTAGTTTTTGAGGTTAATAGGTTTCATTTTATACCTTAAATCAAGAATGTGTAATCTATGAGCAAGACCATTGTCCGTGCTTAAATTGCAGACACTGGACTACGTGTAGGTATTATGCGTCCTACAAGCTTTTTTTTTCATATTAACTTTAAAATAGTGTTGTACAAGTAATTATTTTTTAGGTTATTTTTAGAGGTACTTCACAGACTTCTTATCTACTAATCCAGTGACTGAATTAAAGGACTTATAAAGTACTATCATTTACACTTGATTATTTATTAATTTGACAAGTTTATGAAAAAAAAGCTGGGGAGAGATTGGCTTTTTAGATGAATTTAATAGCAGGATATAAATGTCGGCCACCTGTTTTGTTCATGTCTGTCTTGACCCTTTCCACTGTAGGTGCTGTTGGACTGGTGCACTCACGCTCTGACAGGCTGGTACAATCAGAAGGTGGAGTTTTCTCAGAATGTTTTGGAAGGACTGTGGTGTTACCTTGATAATCTGCTCCACAGCAGGAAGCTCCACTCTCTTCTCAAGCAGGGCAAGACCATCAGTCTGAGGCTCAACATGGCACAGGTGTGCTGTCAATACTCTCATAAAAAGACCAGACAAAACTAGAGAGTTTTTGTCTGCTGCATAATCACATATTAGACTAGTGCTTTTGGCTGCATTTATTCTCTAGGAAGAGGTTGTGTTGACATTGTCATGTTAAAGTTTTACTGACACCTCTTTTCTCTGTTTGCCTCTAGCTGCTGCTTGATAGATTCCAGGAGAGCGCGCGTGTTGGCTCCAAGTCGCCAGTGTGTGTGTCCACCATACTGAGTGTCTGTCAGGGCCTTCTCTCGTCTCCTGCGCTCTCATCTGTGTTCACAACCAAGTATGAACTCATGGTCAATCTCCTGGTGAAGCTCTCTGCTCTGGCCTGCCGTGAGCTACAACAGTCTTTGCTCACAGAAGCTCTAATGGCTGATTCTGTCACATGTGAAGATGAGGTGATGACTGAGTGTCTTCAAACTCAGCCTAACAGCAAACTGGACGATTCCCAAATGGAGGCGATCACTGAAAATCCGCCAGATCAGCCAAAATTAGATCCAAATAAATCCTCTTTCAAGGAAAACCTCCGTTCAGCTAACTTGTTTGAGGTGTTGCTTCAGGGGCTGTCATGTTATTTGTCAGTTCAGCGACAACAAGCCAATCCTAACAGAGTCTTTACTATGGTAACCAACCAGCTGATCCAGACATTAGTACTGCTCAGACACCTGCTGACCTCTGGGGAATTTGCACCTTCTCACACACATCTGCGTCTCCGTCAGCAGCTGTGCAGAGACATCCGCATCAAGATAGACTCCATCCTTCAGTCGGCCCTCTTCCCCTCTGAGCACTTGACGTCTTACAAGGAGGAGCTCCTTCCATCTAAAGAAGATTCAGGGAAACGTGGTCCTGGAGGGGCAAAAGGCCCCTTGAAGCCAGTCAGTGCCATACTTTCCAAACTGAGTGCTGAGGGCTACTGTGAGCCACCCCTACATTACTCTGTGAAGTCGAACACATTGTCTCTGCTGTTTAAGTTCTTTCTGGAAAGCTACGGAAAAGGCAGAGGAGAAAGTCAAGAAGCGCGCAGGATGCTGTGTTTCTATTTCCTCGCCAGGTTGGTCCCGGCCTTGGACCTAGGTCTCAATGGACACTCACCCTCAACTGCCAAAGCAGACCAGCCAGTCTCTGTGCCGACTGGGCAAAAGTCTCCACCAGCCTCCCTCTGTACCCCAGAGAGCTGGAGCCTGGCTCTGCTGGCGGTGGAGTCCCTGCTAAGCCAGGCTCTGTCAGCTGATATTTACAATGTAGCAGCAGACAAGATCAGACACGGAGAGGTCCAGCTCAACTTTTATAGAGCCCTGGGACAAATGCTCTTCAACCAGGCCCAGCCAAGGTAAAAAAAAAACAAAAAAACACCCATCTTGATGTTTTTTTCACTGTCTATTAAAGGTTTTTTAATAGTCAACATAATTGAAGTAAAAATGTTCTTGGTCTTACAGTGAAAACTTTTTATGTCTCGTCTTTCAGCATTCCAGCATGGTACCGTTGTTTAAAGGTGCTGTTGAATCTCAACCATCTGATTCTTGAACCAGACCTGGACCAGCTGTCATCTTCAGCCTGGGTTAATTCTGAATGCATGGAAGCACGAGTTCAACGGGCCAGACAGGTCTAGATTTAATCTTAACTTCTATTGTGTATTTGACATGAAAGCCTCCCCCTAAATTTTATACTTGCAAATGAAGAATTTTAAATATTAAAATGTGTAAAAGGTTAGTTTTAACTGCCATAAAATGTTTGTTTCCCAACAGCTCATGGTGTGCAGTCTCCTCCAGACCTACACTAAGCTCCGTCAGCTGCCTCGCCTCTTCTCCGAGCTCTTGTCTGTGATCTGTCAGCCGGCCTTGGACCACCTCCGACCTCCTCTATTGCCTGAGGGCATCTCTGCCTCGCTCAAGACTTGTCTTCTGGACACTCCGCCTTCCCAGGGCATAGAGATCTGCTCATTAGTGTTGGAAAGCATCAGGAAGCATATACTGCCTGACTTGGTGAATGAGGAAAGTGGGGCAGAGAAGATGGAGATTGATGGGGGTGAAGACGATAAATGGGAGAATAAAGCCCAAGAGAGAGAGGATGCATCCCTGAAGCTGTTTTCTCTCAGCCAGCTGCTTCATGTTGTTTTGTTCAGTCTGAAGTCTCTAGACAGCACCTCTCCTCTTCCCATAGTCAGGCAGAGTCAAGGCCTTATGGAGGAGATGCAACAGGTAGTCAAGGAGTTGCTGCATCTGTTGTCATCAGAAAAAAAGTCTGTAAAAACAAATACAAGCTCAATTCAAAAGACCCCAAGGAAAGGCAAAAAGAACTTGGACCACAAAGAGCCAGAGAAGGTCTCAGAGTCTAATACTGGGGCACTGTGGGAACAAAAGATCCAGGAGGCCGCTCTCCTCCTCACATACACCTGGGTGGAAGTTGACACGCTCTTCTATATCCACTGCAGCAAATACACACCTCTTGACTCAGCCCAGACAGCAGCTGCGAGTAAGACTGCAGACCGTGTTCCAGTCCTAACTCGTATAGAAAGTCTGTTGTCTGGAGAGATTTTTCCAGCACGTCTCCAACCGTCCTGTAGCCCCATGAGCTGTTTCCTGCTCAAACTCCTCACTTTGCAACAAACAAAGAAGGTTTTGCTAGATGCCACATTACTTTGTGAACCTAGCACTGTCGCACTGCTAAACAGGGCAGCCCAGTTTATTTTAGCTAAATCAGATTACGAGGTGAGTTTGGATGGGGAGCAGGTGTGGGACGGGCAGATAGGGAGTGTGACCACTGGGTCCTACCCTGTTGCACACTGGTATCTCATCACGTCCAATTTACCTTTGATTGCTCCTTACCTAAGCGGAGAAGATGTGGACTGCGTAGCAGATGCACTTGTCAGTTCACTCCTCAGCAGACAAGCAGGCGGAGGTAAGGACCAGCCACCTGGCCGTCTGACTGTCTACCTCATATCTTCACAGCTTCTCCAAAGCCCCGTTTTTGCTGAGTTGCCATCACTGTTCTCTGCCACAGTTTGTTCACTCACACAAAGGATCATTGGTGTCTTCAAGGCAGCACATGTACCCAAGATTTGTCCTACACTCCTGAAGTTTCAGGAGAAAGGAACTGGAGTGAACTCTTTAGAAAGCGATGCCAGTCATGCTCTGCCCACAAAGGAGACTATAGTTGAGGACATATTGGCATCCTCAAAGACCGGAGAGGTGTCTGTATTGCTGACTGACACACAGAGCAAGGAACTGGTAGACTTACTCCAAATCCTAACACACCTAAACCCAGATGGGATGAACTCTGAGGATCTCTCTTCTGTTTTCCTCCTCCTTTTCTTCATGCTCACCTCCACCTCCACCTCCAGTCAGTCAGACCAGGTGGCTGCAGACCCTCCTGAATCTGGAGGTGATGCCGTATTCCTGGTGAAGTTGCTCAGGATTCTGACTTGTCTCCTGGAGGGTAGAAACTTCCCGAGTGTTTTGAAGCTCATCCATGGTGGTGCTCTGCTGCAGGCGGCCGTGTCTTCTCTGCTCTGCCATAGCAACAATGGAAGATTTCGAGACGCATGCCACTCCGATTGGCTGGATTTAATCAAAGCAGTGCAGGGCTTCATCAGGTGTTTGGTCCAGTTGATTATAATCAGAAACAGCAGCGTTCGACTCAACCTGGACCAGTTTACCTCCTATCTTACCAGTACGGATATTGTGGCACCCGGTTCAGCAGCTGTGTTAGGTAAACCAGATCCAGGACTGTCCATTATGTCTGTTCATGTCCTGCTGGCATCGCTGACCTCTTTCTCCCAGGCAATGACCTCTAACTTGGGAAGAAGTAAACCAATGGATCAAACCTTGACCCAAATGCTCACAAGAACGACTGCTTCACTGGGACCAGCGGTTGAGTATGTACTAAAGCCTCCGACTGTCAGTCAGTCATCCATCCAGCCAGCCCGCATCCTCGGTCAAGCCTTTGTAGTAGAAGTTGTTACGGTCATGCTGCAATGTGAGCTGTCTTCACTGTCAGTGGAGGAAAAGAACAAGCAGACTGACACTAAGCTGAGCCATATGAACCTCTATCAGAACTTCTGCCAGCAGATCCTGAAAGAAATAAGCTCTGCCCACAGGCCCATGGACTTCCTAGTTTCCTCTTTCCATTTCCTATCAGCTTTCCACAAAGCAATGAAGAAGACAGGAGGAGATAAGAAGGATGAGCAAGGAGAGGAGAGGACGGGAGGAAAGGAGCTGGATGAGCTGCACGTGCAGATACTGCAGAATGTGCACAGACTACTGACAGGTACATGGACACATAGAACAAGAGCAAACATATCATTCACCTGTGCAATCAGTCAGTGTTGTTCTTTCACTAATTGCTTTGGTGTATTGCACATATTGACATGAGTTTACACCAAATGGTATAAAATTAATTCCATGCCATCTGTTTCGATGACTAACAAATAATCCAGTCTTCAACAGTTCAAACAATGTTTGAAGGGACACATGGTATTTCTCACACACACACACACACACAAAATCTCACCATATAGCATTTATTTTAAGTATTGAACCTAAACATTTTGCTTCAGCTCAGCTTTATACTATATACTGAAATGTATTTCTAATATTTTCCACTCATGTATGTAAATGAGGTGGGAAAAACATTAGAAAACACTGCAAACTACAACCTCAATAATAAAGTAGTTCAATTATTACCTCTCTGACAGTGTCAATCAAAAGTGAACATTATTATCTTTGTAAAGGAATTTGTGACAGAGCTCCTGTTCTGTATTTCAGTTATGCATCATATTCTAAATGTAACTTGTTTTCCCTTTGCTTTCAGCTTCCTGGCTCTCTTCAAACGATCTTTGTGAGCTGGAGCCAGCTGTGCAGGAGCTGCTGCGCCACCTGGTGGAGGAAAGTAGTACGGGTCAGTTCAACCTGCTATTGATGATGATCAGAGAAGGACTGGACATTGGCCAGCTGAGGGCAGGAAACTACAGGGTGAGGCCTGGATCAATGCTGATAACTTGTACACTTTTGTTGTTTCATGTTTAAAAATCCTAGAAACCGTGGCCATTTTGTCCACTGTCATTTTTTCAGGGATGTTGTTACAGTGTTTTACATGAAAATATCTCAGCTGTGAGATGAGCTGTGTTAAATATCTAGAAAATGAACTGCTTTCTCACTCTAGCTCCTCTTTTACTGTTCTCTAGGAGGTGCTATCTGCAGTAATCATCATTAAGCTGCTGTCCTGTTGTCAGTTACCTGAGCCCTGCTCTAAAGCTCTGTGGCTCCTTGCACCACAGATTATATCTGCTATGGTGGTGAGAAACACACACACACACACACACACACACACACACACACACACACACACACACACACACACACACACACACACACACGCATGCACGCACGCATCAAACACAAAGTCATATGCAGCACACACCACTGAATCTTTTTTTAGTGAGCATATATATATATACACATATGCACATATTACTCAGAAACAGACGTGCACACGTGAATGAATGAATTTAATTGAGTTTGGATAGAAGTATCAGTTCCACTGAAATGGTTCTCATTTCATTTTGATAAACTTGTAAATTATTTTTTTCCTCTTGTAGATGAGAGGAAAACTATAAAGCTAGAAGTGTCGGTATAACTTGCACAGAAATGTTAAGACAAGCAGGGGACATTACTATGCTGAGAGTATTTTACAGTATGTTCTCTGTCTCTACATCAGTAATAATGTTAGTGACAGTGTGCTGGAAGTACATGTGACAGCCGTCTCGAGTGACTCAGCAGCCAAATGACAATCACAGTCTGCTGATTTCCGTTGGAGTGCCTGTTCATTGTAATTTCCACTGAGGCTCTTTTGGTCAATGTGTTTTCCATCAGGACTGCTGGGTGGAGCAGACAGACAACACAGCAATCTGCTAAACCCTATTACACACGCACACACACACATACACACACACACACACACACACACACACACACACACACACACACACACACACACACACACACACATACACATACACACAGTACTTTAATATGCTAACCGTGCTGTTCTGTTACCTATACTCACTCTGTCTGTCATCTGCCTGATCTGTTTCTATCTCTCTCTCTCCCCCTCTCTCTCAGAGAGAGAGAGACCTTTTTAAATGTCCTAAATCATCTAAATTTAATGGCTGTAAAATATTAATGTTATAAAACCAACTTACAGTTCTTGAACAACATGTCTTAGGTTAATTTGGAAGTAGTGCAATATACAAATAATTGTGTCACACTATATATAAATATGATTTAATAGGTCTTTTTTTTTCACAGAAGACAAATCTGACATTTCACTGTAGGAAAAGTGTGTGTGTGCACTTTTTTGTACACACTTGATCTGTTAGTTGTGTCTGAGTACATCATTCTGTCTCTCTGTGTGCGTATGTGTTTTCTATCAGTTCTTAGTAAGATCGTCCAGTCAGGACGTCTCTTTGACCCTCCCATTCACCGTTCCTGCGGTGATGTCAGTAACATCACTGCTGCGCCAGGGGGAGGGGCTTATCACCAACCCTCATCATGTAATCTTGGTCCTCGGAGCGCTCCAGTCGGTGCCCCTCGACCACTTGACCCCGCTCGTCTACCAATCAGCATTCCTGGCTGTTCATGAGGCACTGTTTGCCATCATCCAGTGTCATCCTCAGGTATGAAGAGGCAGATGGGTGGGTGTTTGTGGAAGGAAGGCATCAATAAGCAAAGAAGTAAACTTGGATGGCGATAATATTAAAGGTTTTTAGGTGTAGTAGAGAGATTTGGATTAAAATATGAGGTTGAATTTGTCCTCTGGAACAAGATGTGGGAATATATTCAAAGAAACAGAATGATACAAACATGAAGTATAACCATACACATAGAAACTGACAAATGTGTCAGTTAAAAAAGTGTGGAAAAACTAAAAAAATAACCATCATGTAACAATGAATGTGTAAGAGATTATCACAGAGGCTGAAGAGACTGTGCCAAAGAATAATGGCTTATCTACATTCAGTTGCCAGTTTATTAGGTACACCTAGCTAAGCTAATGTAGTCTAATACAACAGCCCTGCAATACAGCCTACCTTCATAAAGGTTGTAATGTTCAGTAGTTTTATTGAAACAGTTTTAGAGAAGTGTTGATTCAACTTTATGGTCCTTGTGGAGGTGGAGGTGTCTGTGATGCTGTTGAATTATGCTGTGTCATGCTTAAAGGTGGTTCAAATATTATGTCCAACCCATTTATATAATTGCGGGGAGGCTAAATAACAGAAACAGGTGTGTAATGAAGATCGTTGTAGATCAAAACTGCTGGTTTTTAAAGAAAATGTGGTACATGTACTAAACTCTCCTGCTGAGCCCACAGGATGCCCCAGAGGAATGTTGCTTTAAACAAAAGGATATTGCAGCTCACCAGAGTCATGCTGCAGCTGCACGAAAACCTCAAAACGCCCAAAATGTCAACTTTTACTGGAAGGGCTTGCATTGCACCCAGAGTTTCAAAAACATAAGTTTTCCCTATACAAAGTTACTAGAAATGTAAAACTTTTAAATGGGAACCCACATTCCAGTCCGCCTTTTGTTTGGCTCACCAGTTGCATTCATATTGTAATGGTGTTAATGTGATAATTTATTTTGTTTCTCACTTTCTGAAATGTTGACGGTTTTTTGGTTCAGAAACAGTGACATAGTGCGACTGAAATGGGGCAGCTGCATTGAATAAAACAGGGCAAGAACCAGCTAACTGATATCAGATGTTTGTGGGGACAAAACACAGCAATAAAGGAGCTCGGCAGATTGGGAGGGGGAAGGTTCGGAGGGTACATTTATAGAGGCACAGAGGGGAATAAAAATAAGTGATAAAGAGATGAGAGAAGAAGCAGTAGACGGAGAACAAAAGACTAAGACGTGATCTGAATGCAATGCACGAGGGAAGTTTCAGGACAAAACAGAAGAGGGGAGTGAGCTGGAGAAAGGAGGTGTGATAGGACAGAGGGAGGAGGGAGTGAGGTGGAGAGGAGAGGTAGGGGAGCTGGCAGGCAGTGTAGGCTGGCATGGAGCGGGTTGAAGTCGATGGAAACCATTACTGAGCTCCAACCAGAGCTGGTGACATCACCTCCCCCTCGTTTATATACCCCCCCCCCCAGTCCAGCATAGGCCTTGAATAGAGAACAGAGAGGGAGAGGTATGGACAGAAATGCAAACGTAGCTCTTGTGGGAATCCAACTTTTACCTCAGTCGCCTAAGTTTTGGACTCTAAGTTTATGGCTGTTCTGTTATAACTCAAGCAGTTAAAATGATTTGGTAGATGAATAATGCAGGACTGGTTTTTTTTTCTTCATATCCCCCATAAATTTTCATTTAAGTTTCTTTAAGCATACGGAACATTTTTTCCCACACTCTTATGACCGTATCACATGTAAATTCTATAGGTTTGTTTCAAAGTCAAAGTGGAAGACACTGTTTTTTAGCCGTACCATCACATTAAGTGGAAATGTTCTGTGTGTGCTGTGCAGTGTTTTCTTCCCACGTATTTGGTGTTTTTTTCCCACTAGAATATAGTGGGAGTAAACCACTCTTTCTCCACACAAGATCTTTGGTATTTGAAAAGATTGAACCATCGGTAGGTCTGGCAGCGCAGGGTTCATGTATACTGTGAAGTCAGTTGGATCTCCTCAAGACCAAATGTACCATGCCTCAATATAATTGTTCATGTTTGAAAAGCTCTTTTTTCAAAGTGGTTAGCTTTTTACCACCGTTTATGGCGAATGGCAATACTAACTGAGCAGATTTACAGCCTTTGAACAGTGGACAAAACCAAAGACTCATTATGAGTGTACAAAACTTCATATGTGGGTCCGTTTTGCCTCCTAATCTAACTGTATAAATATGTTTTATGACCATATACATACTTGTGTGTCCAGGTGATGTTGAACGCAGCTCCATCATTCTTAAATGTCTTTCACCGCCTGGTTGCATCCATCATGCAGGAGGGTCGGCAGAGAGGAGACGGTGACACAGGTAACGTATACATACTCGGAGGAAGAAGAGTTGTTATATTGCTATTAATGAAGGTGGAGGAAAACAATTGGTTTGTAGAAAAACGTTCTAAGTTTGTGTCTGTGCAGACAATCATTTGAGGTAACCTACTTGGAAAAGCATGTAATTGAGAGTTTGATTCATCTGATATTCCAAACCCCAGAGAATTGTCAATAAATGACATACTGTTCAATCATGGTCTGGCTTGTGGTTTGGTGCAGAAAGACAGCAGATTTCACAGAGTAAACTTTTAGAAGTTAAATCAACTTCTAAAAGTCAGTTTGATGCTGTATTAAAATGTCCACTCTTTTCCTGTTACTGAAAGTTACTGGAACTGGTAGGCACTCTGTGTCATGCCCAGGCGCACGCTGTTGGCAGGTTGTGATGTTTGCTCATCAACAGCCTTCCAGAAATAGAGAAAACGCAGAAAATACTACTTACTTGCCAATAGATCTGCTGTTTTAGCAAGTTGTAGAAGCATCTAATTTTCTCTGCTCCTTTAATTACCTAATTTTGTAAATAATTGAACGCCCTCTGCATACTTGGGGGTGATATCTAAATAGGCAAACTTGATTTGTCACATGTAAACAGGTTGATAACAGTTTCTATTTTCAAAGGTCCAGACCGTGACGTGTATCTCCAGTGCTCCAGATTGATAGAGAGGATGTACTCTCACATTGCTGCTACAGCTGAGAGCTTCACCACACTGTCAGCCTTCATGGTGGCTCAGTACGTCACAGAGCTGCAGAAGGTACACACACACACACACACACACACACACACACACACACACACACACACACACACACACAATGAATGAGGCAGCAGGATCTCAGCTGATCCTTTGATCCAGACTAGTTTGTCTGGTGGTGCGTTATGAGCCGGCGAGACTGAGCCGAGCAGAGTGACGGAGATGCTGACACTCAGAAGCAGAGATGGGGAAGTGTTTCCATTGGCCAGATTGCAAATGTTCACAAATCTGAGTGAACAGTTCCAGGATTACTGTAACTCCATGTGCTGGAATGAAGCTTTAGGCTGGATGTTCCCTCCGAGCAGTGAGTCACGTCTGGTTTGAGTGAACGCAGCTCCTTTCTGCTACCAGACTGTATTTAACATGACGCCAACCTGACTCAGCAGTTTCCAGCCGAGTCGCACGTTGAGAGGAAGACATGAAAGTACCCAGACAGACAGACAGAAATAGTGAGAGAGAGGTGTTCAGGATTCTTTGAGCTCTCTGTGTGTCATCTGATCATCCTAAAATTGGATTTATATTGTGCTTTTAATAGGAGATTTCAAAAAAGATGTACCTCTTTTGTAAGTCAGAGGAAATTTAGCCATCTCTGTGTCAGAACTGTTTCTAATGGCTCTCCACCTGAACTGAACTTCCCATGCAGCAGCCAGGTGTCATTAGAACAAAGTGCAGCTGCAGTTAAAAGTACAGTTTTTATGCTGGTGGACTTCGGGAACTTGTCTTGATATTGTTGGACTTTTTTTCTATTCTATTGAAAACCCTATTAAAAGAGCACTCCAACGTTTTAGCATTGGTTGTCGTACTCATGACAGACAGTTTAAAAAAAAGGGATCAGAATCAGTGATATAGTTTTTTTGTTTTGTTTTATGAATTGTCCTTCCTTGTCAAAACCTGTCGCCTTCTTTACCCAAAATGCAACTCGAGCTGTAACAATTTGGGCGGTAACTTGGGTGTGTTATGTTAGTAGCGCCTAATATAGCCCCGAGCTGCTAGCCTCAGAGAGGAGGAGCAGGCTACACAGGTCTCTTTCTAACCCCACATTCACAGATTTTTTTTTACATTTGCAGTGTTCAGTCCCATTCAGACTTTGCAGAGCTCTCTCTGGAGCTACAAAACACCTGCAACTACACTCAACTGTGTCACGTGCAGTAGTACTCCCCAACATCCGTAAACAGACTTTGATATGTAAAACCTGTGCACTTCCCTTTTAAATGTAACCTAATTTAAATAGGCTCATTTAATTTTAGTCAAATGCATTTCACAAGTTACCCGGAAGTTGCAAATAGACACAACAACAACAGCAGATATAGCCTTCAATAAGGTAAACACAATGTTATGTATTGGGGGAAAAGTATTTCAAAGAGTTTGTATGTGGTAATCTGACCACAGTTCAAGTCAATCTTATCTCAGAAAACTGTTAAACTCTTTCTTAAGACCCAGAGAAAAAAATCCACAAAAAAACTTCTGTAAGTAATTATAGGAGAAACTTGAGGAAGAGCAACAGTGCAAGAATCCTCTTCCAGGACTGACGGACATGAAATAGGTGGAAAAGCCACATCATGTATTTGGACAGTTGGCGTACCACTAACTGTAACTCTGGCAAACTACTGCTCCGTGTAACATTTGATAGGTCCGTCGCCCATTATGGGGCTGTTTTTTTTTTTTTTCATGCTTAGCCTGTAATTAGGTAACCATGGTTTTATCTGATCATTTACAGTCAGCAGCACACAGCCACCATCATCTTCACACTCATTGTGTGCAACACCTGTGTGCCTGTGGGGGTATAATGTAACAGGGATGAATAACCAGACACTATTGAATTTTCTCTGGCTTGTTGCGCAGGGTTCACTGAGCACAAAAGGTGTTTGTCCATTGCGTTTTTGTGTGTGCACGTGCACATTTGTGTGTTGCTGGAGAAAGAGAGCGCACCTTGATGTTGTGTTGCTTCTCTGCTTCTTCTCCGCTTTTGTCACGCAGGTAGATAGTAGAAGTATTGGGGCTCATAGACTGGATCAGATTGTATGGATCTGGGTCACTTGGCAATATTCTGTATTGAGTTTCAGATCTGAAGCTCAAGATGGTTTAAAAACAATGCTGTCCACTCAGAGCAGCAGTGGCAGAAACAAGAAGAGTAAATGATTACTATAAAATTCACTTTGTAAACAAAGTCAAGCAAATATATCACTAATCAAAGAGCAAATTGTAATTGTTACTATGTACCACATCTACAGTGCAATGGGCTGAAAATAGGGTTATGGTATGTTATTGATCCTCTTAAGACCAGGTTTATGGACCATTTTCTTTACTAAAGCTCTGTTCCATTTGTCTGCTTTGAATATTTTCTCTTCCCTTTGTAGTCCTGCTCTTAACATTCGCATTAACATATGTTTAGCCAGGATAGCTGATGCTGTTCCTTCAAATTGAAGCTCCTGGTTATGAAGCTGGATGTGTGACATAAATTAATATTCAACTCTTCTGGCACATCATTTGTGGCTTAATATGTTTTCCCTCAGGCTGTCCCTCAGGCTGTATGTAGAAACTCAGTATCATGTTGCCATTAATTAACTAAGAACGAAGCGAACGTGGTCTTGTTAACATGCATGAGGAAAATGAGAAAACCAAGATAACTCAAAGTATGAAGTGTGTGTGACAAACATAAATTAGATGAATAATATAAATTCATGTCTCATCTTCTCCTTTTTCATAACTGCCCTCTTATTTGTCTCTCCAGGTTACTCTACGACCAGACATTAAGCTGCATCTAACAGAGGGGATCTATCGGATATTGGACCTGTGTATGGAGCAGGATATCAAGTTTCTGACGGCCGGACTGCAGATGGGAGTCAGAGAGGTGTTCAATGAGCTGTACGGCAGCTATACCCACTACCACAAAGCACAGAGACAAGGAGAGGACAAGTACACTGTTTGAACTGCCACATCAACCACCATCAACCTTTTGTTTAGTTTTCAGTTTAACTAATTAAAAGAAATTTGAAATAAATGGAAAGACTGTTTATATGTAATTTCTGATTTTGAATGGAGAATCCATCCATAACAGTACAATGTACAATATTTGTACGATTGTACAATATTTAAAAATATCAAGATGAAAATACTTCAGAGGAGCTACGCAAAAATTGCTCCTGAGGAGTGTTATGACCAGACTCAATCGCACTGATACAAAGTAACTGGTTAACGTCTGTTATATGCTAACACGCCCTATATACCATATAACATACAGCACATGTCTGACTGGAGGAAAGGTTCCTTGTTTCTCAGGAGGCACAGCGACTGTCGGAGGACCTTCACCCTGTGTCAATACGGGAACTGTATTTGAGCAAGGTTAAAGTGTCTCCTCATCAGATTTATTTCACATTGCAACCATGACAAAGGATGTGTCAAATGTTGTGTTTATATTATAACTTGAAGAAACTGAATTCAGTGAGGTATGATTAATAGCTGAAGAATGTATGGATATGTTTTTTTTTTTTTGTTTCTATATTGCTGTTTTGTTTTTCCAAAATGATTTAACACAGATACATTTAGATACGATGCTGTCTCAAGCCTGTTTAAATTGTCATTTTGTGTGCAGTGTTGTTATTTGTTTATGAATTTTTGCCATTATTTGATTGAGTAGATGGTCAGACAGGAACTGTGAGGGGAGGTTAGAGAGAAGACATGCAACCAAACTGCATTTGAAACAGGGATGTTGCAGGTAAGTGGCATGACTCTTTGAGACTGTCAGGCCTGCTGTGACACCTGCACAGTATTGTTGTTTTGTTTCTAGTATAGGCTGACAAAAGAACAGATGAATGGACTGTGCTTTTTTTAGACACAAATGAAAAATAGACGAATGCAGTCACAGCGGTGTTACTGTAAAATAAATGGAGGAGATGATAAATTGGAGTCATACAATCTCACAGACTTAATGGGTTTTTGGGGCCTTTACATTATGAAACTTGAACTGCCAAAAAGTTGGCAGAACAAGAAATGCTACTGTTTCTGGTATCACAGAAGTATTCGTTTCAAGTAAAGCGCTAACATTTCTGTGTGTTTTGTGCTGTAGATACTGAAGCAGAGCAGTAAATGTCTGCTGTAACTTTATGGATTCACTGTATGTGCTTTATTTAAAAAAAATGAACACAGGTTCAAGATAATATTTGTCTAATAAGAGGAAAGCTATGCTATTACTATAAAAGGTGTATTAAAACCTACTTTAAATCGTTGTGCAATGTCCCGGTAGAAACTCCCCCCAATAGCTGGTTGCTTTACGTTATATAAATTCAACTAACAGCTTTTTTAAATTTTACTTTCAATGGATCAAGTGAGCATTTGATACAAAGGCTGGCAGTAAGTGACAGCTCAATGTTTTCATGCTGTAAGTTGATCGTTTAAACTGACATTGTTTGAAAACAATGAAAAAAAGTAACAAAAAAAAAAAAAGTCCGGCTCTTAAAGAATCCAGAGATTTACATTACAGCTATATTGATGGCATAAATAATAAACTGGTGCTTTGATGTACTGAAGTTACTCAGAAGTCCATATTTCATGTTTATTTAGTATTTCAGTGGTCTGATTTTTAATCCTCTGTGCAGTTCAGAGCTCAGTCATTTACATATTAAAAGGTTTGGGGACTTGTATTGAAAGCTTTTTTTCCATCAACCTCATTAGAAGATATATCTGTCACATAAATATGGTGTTAATGAATAAAAAGGACTCCCTACTGTCCCTCCATGTATAATATATACTTTCTCATATCTTGGTAATAATCAGACATCAGACTGTCTAAACAACTCTCCTCTTATACCTCAACGTTTATGTAAATGCTTGGAAATGGAAAAATTGTAATTTTACAAAGCAGAATATCAATGCGAAGTTCAAGAAAATGTCAAATAGTTTATAAACGCTTGATCCCTCTAACAGCCTCAGTTAAAGCTTTGCAAATGAGGCATGTACAGTAGTTACCATTTCAGACAGGAAATGGCTTAAACACGTCTTCACAGCTCTTCTACAGAACGTCTTTGAAATGTTGGACACTTTTGTTCTGACTCATCTGCCTCCTGTTTGTCCTTAAAACTGAACAGGTCTTAAGTGAAACTCTCACCCTCCTTTCCCAGTTTCTGCAGAAACAGGAGGCTTGTTACTAAAGAATAGTCACTATTGCAAATCAACAGCTTTCTCGTCATTGACCTAATAGTGTAAAACAGTGTTTGAAGAAATGTTCTGCCATTTTTAGTGCCACTATGTAAGTCGCATACACATTGGTGGTGCTCACACAGTTTTCAGTGATATGTGACATTGTCCAATATATAAAGATCACTGCTCACCAGATACAGGTTGATTGAAGGTAACATTTAGAAAAACCACACAGTACACTCTGCCCATGCAATATTAATATAATACTATGAAGCTAGAACAAGATATATCACTAAATATATATATATATATATATATATATATATATATATATAATACTATCCATAGTAATACAGCTGGGATCTGTCTCTGAAGAAGGTCTGTGATACAGTAACTACGCTGGTCAGATCATACAGTGTAACACATGTATGACAGCTTGAAAAATACATGCACAAGTCATGAGGCCATGTTCCAGAGTTAAAGAAAACATCCCCCTGTCTTGGCAGCAGTTCTTCCAGTTAGGCAAGCTTTCCACAACCCTCCATGCTCAGCTAATGTTGCAACACCTGTACTTGAAGTAGCTGGGCTTGTATTTCAGTGGCACTTCATCAAAGCTTTTTCAGACTTGTGACTTGAATTGATTAATTCTTCAAATCTGAGGCCTTCAGCCTGACAACTTTCTCATGTGATCGTCTCTCTGCCGCAGTAGATTTCTCTTTACTGGAACTGAGTGTATTTTGCAGTTTTTCATCTATTTTAAAGGAGAACAAACTTGTGTCTTTGCTTTTTATTTATATAGTGATGACAGACTCACACCTGTTAGACATAATCGACAGAAAATGGACAAAGAAGAAGAACATAATAAATCAATGGGACCTCATTGAGCAGGATACTTGAGAGTCAGAAGTTAGTTTGTAGCATTACGTCCATCTGGAGTCATCATTGCAACATTAGTCTTGATTAAATCTTAATTTAAAAGGAGTTATTAGAACTGAGGATAATGAAATACATATTAATCTTTTAACTCTTTACAAATACCACATGAGTTAGGATGACTGACAAGCTCACAGCCAAGAGACAGACTCCTCTCTATTTCTGGAAGAGGTCTTGAAAGGCAAACTGACCCTCTTCAGGGGTAATTTGAGACGCTCATAACAGTTATTCAGGACGCTAAAGGCAAAGGGCAAAAGATAAAACCCTCTTTTACCTCTGTGTTGCTAAATTTGCACATCTGTTTCTCTGCTTCTTACTCCTCCACCCCCCCTGTCTCTCTCTCTCTCTGTCTCTCTCTATTTCTCTCTCTCTCTCTCTCTCTCTCTCTCTCTCTCTCTCTCTCTCTCTCTCTCTCTATCTCCAGTTTGACTTCCATCCATCCATGCTCTAACACTACTGTAGGTAACATAAACACACTCTCTCCAGACCACCGTAGCGGGAGCAGCCATGAATAAATATGTGTGTGTAATACTACTGGGACTCTCTATGAGGGCACAGACAAAGTGTGTATTGATACCCTTTTTTTAAAAAACTTTGCCTACGGGGCATTTTGCTGTCCAGTCAAAATCACATTTTGTCACCATTAAAATGTAAAATGTCAGAGGCAGATTGAACCTTCCTGAACACGCTGAACCTTTAAGTTTCCGCCGAATTGTTGCAACTATCTCAGACAGAGCTGATCTGAAGGCCACAGACCACAAACACATCTGTGCTTTTAAGTGGTTCAACAGTGTCAGGTTGACTTGCTCCAAAAGTGTCTCACTGAACACTTAAAGATTTTCAAAAATGATCCATCAGATACATTTTGGAGTAACACTTAATGCTTCAATTATTTGATTATGATTATTATGATTATCTGAAAGCCGATTTCTGCTGCTTTATCAATCAACTTCTAACAGGGAGTAAAGGGGTCTCACAAAGACACACTGCCAAAGTCAAAACTGTTGATTGAGTAGCAATATTTGAATGTTGAACGTGGGGTTGTTAGCTCATGTTAGTGTCCATCAGATCTAATGAAATCTGATCAAACCACACCCAGTTCTGTTGAGGCAGGGTTTTATAAATTATACCTAACAATGTTTTTTTTAAGCTTTGACTTCGATTGTTACGTATTTAGTTGAGAAGTAGAGAAATACTTGAGGTTTGAAACCACATTACAGAAAATCTATAACTGAACCATAATCCTTCATTTACTTCTTCGTAACATTTCATTACTGTGCGTTCTCTTCTTCATAATTAGGACCGACCATCTCATTAAGTGTGCTGTAAACTTCACCATAATCATGACTTTGAATCCCTTAAATATGGGGCTCAGAGAGGTCAGGGCATGTCCCTCATCAGTCTATAAGTGATCTATAAGTGATTCATCTACCATTTAGAAACCAGACTACAATTCAGAATTTGAATGAAATTTGCACATTAACTACAGGAAACACCTTGTAGACAAACACTGTTTTAAAGACTCTTCCTCTAAACCATTTCTGAGGAGACTTTATTGTTTACCACACTGAGAGCCAGAACAACAGGTGAACTGTCCAAGAAGTGATGCAGTCACTGAGGGTTGAGAAGCTGATGGTGACTGTTGAAAGGCTGTTTGGTTTAGTTTGATGCTCTAAACAGGTCTTCAACTAAAGATCAATGTCATTGATTGTTACTCTCACCATCTCACCTTTTCCCCATTTAAATGAACAATCAAACTGCTTGTTTTGTCTGAAGATACTAAACGAACGTTGAGGTGAGATTGTTTTGACAAGAATAAATGAGAAGAGATCTGCAAATTGACCATCTTGTGACTCCATCTGTTGAGGAAGATGGTGTGATATGATTGAAAGCTCCAGAACAGGGACTAAATGTACCTTTAGGCAATGCTGCTTTATCCACAAAAGATGTTTATTATAGAAGTTTATTATCCCAGAACACAAGAAAAAGGTTAAAATCTGCACAACAACGAAATTATTTGATTATCAAGTAATCATTTCATCGGTAATTCTCATTCTCAAGTCTTTTTCATGTTTATTCATATATCTGGGTGTGTGATGTGTGAGTTTAGGTTTTGTCTTAAAATGTTCTGAGAAGGTTTTCAGGAAGAAAAAATGAATTGTGGATATTTTTTTTTTTATTAATTGAACTCTTGTCCAACAAAAATATAGGTCTACTGTCACAAGAATACATTAATTTTGGGAACAAATATTTAGGACAGTGGAGGAAGGAAGGAAGGAAGGAAGGAATACATGGAAAAAGAAAGGAAGGAATGAAGAGGCCAAGTGAGGAAGGAAATGAGGAAAGTAAGTTAAAATAACAGATGAAACTGATAATCTTCCCAGCCTTTGAGGTTCAGTCTCTACTTCCACTGGACCGGGTCAGAACCAGAGTGGAAAATAAAGAGAAAGTTTTTGCTTTCTCCTTTTTAACCCGGTTTAAAGTGTCTCTGGCGCCCCCAGCGTCTCCTCGCTGCACCTGCAGCTCCACAGCAGACAGTGAAATCATGTAGCACGATGATCACAGATCCTCTCTCACAGCTCCCAGACCCACATAACTGAAATTGTACAACAACCATTTCCTACAGGGACTGTCTCCACCCCCTTTACTCGGCTTTAGCGCTGATCCGCACGGCTCGGCTCGGCTCGACTAGCTGCTCTCCCCGGCCCTCCTCCAGGGCTGCCTGAGCCGGTCTTTGATTGGACTAGAGTCGACTAGCCTTTGGCCTCTAACCCCGCTGATGTTGGCTGGCTGCTTCCTGCTCCCTCCGCTCCCCCAGACCGACTAGACGAAGCCTGCCGTAGCCGCACGGCGAAGCGCTCTGCACGGACACAGCCGACCGGGTCGAGCCGCTGCAGACGGACCGGAGCAGAGCCACGAAACGAGCAGACAGGCGGACGGAAAAAAGAGGCAGCCATGCGGAGGAAATCGAGGATATTGTTATGTTTTGCCGTGCTGTGGGTGCTGGGGATAGCCTACTACTTCTACTCGGGCACAGCGTTGAGTCGAAAGGTAAGGTTTCCCGTTCCCCGGCTGCTTTTTCTGGACTCACACGGTCCGTCTTCGGTGTCCGTGTGGATGTTTTCTTCCAGGACAAAGCGAAGATGGAGCGGCGTGATTTGGCGCTGCTGTGCCTCTTTTTGGGGGCTGTGTTTTTGCGGCTGCACCGATGCTGTGAGGAATGTGATTGAAAAAAAGGGGCCTGCTAGTATCAGTGGGCAGGCATTGATTTTGGTGGAGATGATTGTGGACAAGGGCAGCAGGGGTAGCAGAGCTGGCCGGGCGGCGTGCACAGACCTCCCGCTGTGCCGGTAATTGCCTTCCCGTGGCAGCGGGGACGGAGCATGTCCACACCGGGCAGCATGTTAACCGCTTTAACGTGGCGGAGCCGGTTAATGTGTGGGCAGATTTAAAGGTGAAAGTGTGCAGGTTGGTTGTTATTAATATTAGGCTGCTGGCCTGGCTCACAGGGCCGGGGGTAGAGTAGGGTAGTGGGGTGGGGTGGGGTGGGGGGTTAGCCTATAGAGCACGTCAGCACAAGCTGGTGCTGCTGCTCCGAGAAATGAGCAGAGATCAGGAAGTGTGCGGATTAACGCCGGGGTTAAAGCACTGATACAACATGCTGCCGGGATGTGATTTTTTTTTATTTTTATAGTCGGCTTTAAACATTAGTTCATTTTTTTTCCTACTGTGGAAACAACCTAGATTCACTCTGACAGCTCTGACAATCTGTCCAGATTTCCTGTATGCTGATGTCCCTGCTGTGGGAAACACAGTTGTGTTGCTTATACACTGAGATTGTTATGTAGAAAAAGCTCAAATGAAAGCAGTGTACAACCCACCCTGCAATACATCGGCCTGTAGTGTTCAGTTTTTGTTGAAACAGTTGAAGAAATTTTACAGAAAATGTCATGTGCCAACCATACATGGTCGCTTTAACTTTTATTAAATCATATTAAACTTTGTATCTTTGGGTTTTCGTTTATGTAGACATTTGCTTTGGACTTGTGATTGGCATTTTTCACTATTTTCTCATGTTTTATAGACCAAATGATTAGTCAAGAAGTGAACTGGTGGATAAATCCATAATGAAAATGTCTGTATGTTACTTTCTTTACTTTTTACTCATTCTTTCTGTGTGTGTGTCATGCAGTGGGTACAGTAACTTCTTAAATGAGAAGGCCAGTAGTAGAATTAGTAGTAGTAGGAGTGAAAGCTGATTAGATTGACTTTGTGTATGTGGAGGCATGGATTCCATTCATGATATACCAGGCCTGTACATGCAATAGTATGTCATACGTGAAATGTAAGTTAAATATCCTCCAGGTGTTCCCACGTCACCATTGTACACACATATATATTCTGTGTGTGTGTGTGTGTGTGTGTGTGTGTGTGTGTGTGTGTGTGTGTGTGAAGGAGAGAGACTGAGCGCGGTCCCTTTTTTTTATGTTGAGGGAACATCCAGCTTGTGTTTACTGTGTGTGTTTGTTAATGTAGGCCAGTGTATCCTGCTGTGTGTATGTATTAAGTGCTCTGTGTGGGTGGTTGTGTGCACAGTACACTGCCTCTATTACCCTTCTGGATTTGGTTGTGTGTGTATTTTAGTGTGCGTGAACGCCCTGTGTGTATTCCACCTGTCTCTTGTCTTGTCCTATCTGTCTCTCTGTGTTTGCTTTACTCCAGTCAACCAGAGCCGTCCTTTTACTTTTCCATTAGGCTGATAGCTCTCTCTGTGTGTGTGTGTGTGTGTCTATGCGTATATTTGAGCTTGTTACGGGGTCAAAGTGACAAACTCGTGATAAGTAACTTTCTCTGGAGTTGGATTGCAGGCAGGAATTAATATGCAGCCTGGATGATCGGCTGCAGCTGACTGGTGTCTTTACACAGAGATTTAATCTGTTTAAACAAAGGTGCTGCTGCACAGGTAAAGTGTTGTTTTCCATCACATCTTCTTCCCCTTTGAAAGAGTCAAGGCATTTAATGACTTCCCATCGCTGTCATGAAACAAACCTTGTAGCTCTAGTGTAGTGCATTTTTCAGAAGCACTCAAGGCGCTCTGACTTAACATAAAACATATCTGAAGATTGCCCTCGCTATCTACTCCTGATTATGTCATTTAAAGTTCCTTAGTGGTTCTGTATGGTTCCTTTTACCTTTTCATCTTTTTTTCTTCTCTTGGCAACAGATAGGTGAACTGGAAAGCTTGTGAATTTAATTATGTAACAACGTTGGACGGTTTCCAAATATGGACAAATGCTCCTCCATGGGAGTTATGTTCAAAGTGTGATTCACACGTTTGTATGTTCATTCATTCATTCATTCATTCATTCATTAATCAGAGAGATAATAGTATCTTGCAGATGTGTCGAAAGAGTCAGAGAAAATCTACCCAACGTATTCCAAGTGACAAAAACAGAGGTTATTTATATGCGGCACACATTTCAGTGAGACTCTTACTGTTCACAGATAGCGCCTGCATCCAACATTACACCTCACAAAGCTACATGTTGTTGTGTCATCGCTGCTTGGAGCCACTGTGGTGCATACAGAGTCCAGCAGCTCTGTGCCTGCCAGTCTGAGCAGGACTCACACTATCATGGCAGCTAAATCGAATGCCCACTTCGGAATAATCTGAACGATGGTGCCTCTGTGAGAGGAATTGGTTCAACTTTTCCCGCTCTGTCATGCACCCATGATATTGTGGCTCTTAAGATCAAAGCACTCGCCGAACAGCATTTCTACTATTATAACTTCAAATGTACCCTATTTGGATGAATGTCCCTTCTGTTAGAGTCTGTATGCCCATTTATGAACACAGAATCAGTGCCTGTAAGCTATCACAGTGTCCTGTTTCTACTATTTTTGACAAATTCCTTTAGAACAACAATGATAATAATAAAAAAGGCTCTAATGTCATCATGTGTCTCCAGAGGTCAAAAGCAAACCTTTTGTAAAAATGTCACTCATATCTCTGATCATAAATTTAAATCTGCGTCAATATGAAAGTTGGTCTTTCTTTTATTAGTGTACACAGTGATACTGAGCTTTCTTGAGCGTTTCTCTCTGATGTATACTGAATTACACCAACTCGTAACAGTATAAAACGAGAGGATATGAGCTGAGATGTGAGGTTCCCCGTCAACAATGTGCACCCTCATTTTAATGATTCTGGGAAGATTTAATGAGTTCAATCATCCGTTTTGTAATTTATGTAAAATTATAGAAGAAAGTAGAAATATATTATCATGCTCTTTTCAGCAAAGTCCCATAATTTCATATGAAATCATTAATATTATCTGCCTCTAGGCATCTCTCTGCAGTCTCATGATATATGTGAAAAATGTATTCCTGGTGTGTGTGTGTGTGTGTGTGTGTGTGTCTGTGTGTGTGTGTGTGTGTGTGTGTGTGTGTGTGTGTGTGTGTGTGTGTCTGTGTGTGTGTCTGTGTCTGTATCATGGGTCTGAAAGGGAAGTTTTCACCTTCTTCCCTCTCCAGTACCCAGTATGTAGATTAACAGGAAACCTTGGGAGACACCCTGCAGCTAGACAACCCAGTACAACCCTTTATCTGTAAGTGCATTGTTGTACACAGGAGGATAATGTTGCAAACATGAGCCTGCTGGCTCTCCAGGATGCCCCATTAACATCTTGTTGGACAGACCTCAGAGGGTTTTTCCTGCCAGTTCTTGAGAAACCAACGTCTTACTGTTGAGTCTACTTTCCTGCTAATCAGCTGTGTGAAAGGGGAGCTCAAATGGATCAGATAGAGGAGGGCGTACTGAACCACAGGACAAAAACAACAAACACAGCTAAGAAAGTTATCAGCTGTTTGGGTAAAGCTGCAGCTAGGCTGTCTAGGTAATTGAATTGTATCAAAGTGGTGAAAAAGGTGTGTGAGGTGTTAAGATTCAACGTTCAGTTCAACCTGTGCCACATGTTTCTCTTATAAAGATGTAGATCGGCACATATATAATGTAATAATAACCTTACATTGCTGTAGTCACTTTGACAAAACAACAGGGCAGGGGGAAAAATGAATCACATACACATGTGGTAAACGCAGTCATGCCAGATTGACTCACACACATTATCCACTGTTGCTCAGAGGTGGATCACAGCGTTGAATAACAAGTATTTATCAGTGTGTTGTGATTAGCCAGAGCTTTTGATTGGTTTCTAGTTGGTGGCAGAGGATTCAGAAGTGAGTTCTGTGCTTTTCCTCGGGCAATCTGCAGAGAGGAGAGGAGCGTGCATGAAGCTGATCAGCAGGGATTCTGAGAGTTTTTAATGCTGGCTGGTCCAGAGCTCTTGAGTCAAAGTTACAGTCTCTGTTATCTGCAGCTCTAGGCACTCAGCTTCTGCCTGTCCGTGCATGCCTCAAAAGTCTGCTTTATCAATACATCTGTCTTTCATCGTACGTACTGTGACTTCACTGGCTTTGAGCGCTTTGCTATTTTAAAGCAGAAAAAGTTAGAAAAATGGAGCAGTTGCACATCACACTCAGTGAGTCTGATGCTGGCCCCTGCTCCTCGGCACCAGAGCCCCACCCCGCACTGTCTGCTGGAGTAAGACACAACATCACTGTCAGCTCACAGACCCAGCAGTGTGTCCGTAATCTTTACAGTCGAAACCTGTACTGCATGCTTATGTACACATAGACACACATGCTGCTTTACTCATGATTCTGATTGTATGTGTTATAAGAGCTCCTGCTGTTGTGTAACTGCTGTACAATCATCTAGCCAAAACACCTGTGGCTTCAAAACCACTTGAGGCCTCAGGAGTTCAATATGTTTATAATCCCCGAATACAATGTAGTGTCAGTCAGAGAGCAGCTCCGTTATTGCTAACTAACTAAATGCAGTTCCATAGAGCAAACACCGAATCGATGAAAGACTTAAATTAAGCTGAGCATCTGTGGGTACTGAACCCTTCTCAGATACACAGTTTTTGTTTGAAGTATTGACTTTGTGTGCGAGTGTTTTTTTTTTAAAGTAATGATCACTGCTGACA